ACTCGTCGCAATGACCGTGTTGCAGAAATCCAGTAACTACCAGATCTGTAGCAGTACAGCATGCGCTTCCGATCAACAGTACTGCGAAGTGTGCCGTTAGTCGTATGGTTCAACATTTTCTCGTCGTACAAATCGTAGGTCAACGGTGCATCATTGTAGCAGAGCAAGTTGACCGCACATAGCAGTCAGCTGAACAGCGCATTCTTCCGGTTGAATTGATTCTATGAAGATCTGTGGAAACGGCTCCTCTTTGACGGTGTCCTCGTTGCAACGGTCTCTCCATTAAATGGAGAGACAATAACGACAAATTATTTTGTCGTTATTTTTTTTGTCGTTATTTTTTATTATTTTTTTGTAGATAACGACAAAATTATTTTGTCGTTATCTACAAAAGCGTATTAATTGTTAACAGAAGCTTTTCTAAAAGGATGTCTTGATCGGGAAAGCCACATTTCTGCATCCACTTCCTATAAAGTTAACAAAATTTTCGCTGAGAGTATGTTTGTGACATTTACCCGTATTTTCATTATTCCTTCGGTTTTTAGTTGCTAAACCAATATAAAAACAGAGGGCATTTGCTTCAAAGTAGGAAATAATATATCGTTTCCATACGGTTGGGTTTCGTTCTTATCGGCATCGTCATTAACAGAAAATTGGTCTTGTGCCAATCGCGCTCGTAATCGGCCGCGCAGTCTACCGGCAAATAAGAATCGGTATTGTTTCTTGCTGGACTGCCCAAATGGAACGGTTGCATGTGGTTGAATGTGGCACGCTTAAAGCGCTTTCGTTTTCGCATTCGGTGTCGAAAACAACGTAACCACCGGTTTCGGCAGCCAGGGTACAGTTCACATAAAAGTCGTTGGGTGCACATTGGCCTTCGCTTTGCACAGCGCGCTCTTCCGGGTTCATTGTTTCTAAGGAGAAATCATGAAAATATTAGTGGCCACCGCGATGAAAAAACTGCCCGTGCGATCTGCGCCCTTAGCGCTGTACGACAGAATGCCAATGACTTTTGATGACGTGGCGCTAATAATGCAGCGGATTCTTGTGTCTAACCTGGTTGGGTGCATTAATGAGCGTGCCTCGCAAAAACTGCAACATGTGCGTTTAAGTAATCTCGCAGAATTCGTGTTATGTAACTGTTCGGATCGGATCATCCAAAAAAGCGATTTTCAGTTCCACGGAAATTAAGGATCTTTGAGCTGCGGAACACAACGCTAGAAAAAAAATACATTCAGTGATCTGCCTGCGCTCAGTGCGCTTTCTTTAGAGATGTTTTTCAATCGACTGCCGACTTTTGATGCATGCATCCGTAGTTATCTACTCGTATTTAACCTGCACTGCAGCTACGAGTTAACGTGGTACCAAAAATGGGGACTAATAACTCAGCGTTACTTCATGAGGCGGAATTCGGGGGAATCTTCCAGCTTGTCATCGCATACATTAGTTATCCGTTCCAACGCAAGAACGTATATGTTATGGCAAATTCTAATAACTTAATTAATTTGGCAATCAATTTGAAAAATTATGAATAAAGTGTTGTAATTTATACAATAAATTATCGCTGCCATAATTAGTCGATTTGTTGGACCTTTGTAACTGATTAGGTAAATCTGGCATTCAGTTCATCGGTAAACTTGGTTGTGGTTTTGTACCATCAGTAGACTTAGCAGCTTATTAAGTTTTTTGTATTCCCACAAAATGTAGCCTGATCAAATATTAATTTTAAAGCTTATTTTCCAAGAAGCCGTGACCGATTTTAGTCTAACACTTCCAAATTTTAGATGTGAATAAATGGCCAGAAGGATGCACAAATGGCAGGATCGAGGATGAAAAATCTTTTCCTGACCTTTTCATACAAGCAATGGACCCGAAAGAGCGCACATAGACCCGAACCGAGGGTCTATGTGAATCTTTTTATGCAAACTGCACCCTAGCACCTAAAGTCTGGCATTACGATATTATCGATGACAACTGTAACAACGACAGCCCTTTAAAACGCACAAGGCGAGTGGTAACCGCTATCGCCAAACTGCCGCTGCGTCCCGTAAGGCTTGTGTACTCTGACAAGACACGTGTCACCTCCGACGACATCGCTCCAATACGACGTCAGATCATCGGCTATTATTTGAGGAACTGCACGAGCCCCCGCGCCAGCAACAGACTTCGCCAACTGGCGCTTCCGAATCTACTGGGATACTTTCTGAAGCACTGCTCGGATGTGGTCATAAAGAAGAATCATTTCCAGCATTCTACAAAACTGAAAGAAATTGCATTCTACAATACGACCATTCGGACGTGGATGAAATCGCCTTCACCAGTCTTCCTGCCTTGCGTATGCTCGCTTTAGAACTCGCGATCAACTGAAGTCAGTTGGATGACCGTCTTCGAAGTTATCTGTTCAAACTGCACTGCAGCTGTTTGTTTGCCGGCTTTCGACGCCGACGGTGGTGGAATAAAAATACGGCCTTACTGCGGTACGCTGAGGAAGGTGATGTGGTATATATTCCCGGAGGGTGGTTGAACGATGAATACGAACGCGCAGATGTGTTTTTGCCGGTTGACTGCACGTCTGTTTACCTTTACCCTAAAGAGAAATTGCTTATCAACTACGATGCGACTAGCTTTTCGCTGCACGAACCTAAGACTTAGTGTCGGTGAACATGTTATAGCTTGCAAAATACATTTCAATTTTCAGCAGATGTAATGAATCCGTATACGTACGATATTTTCATAATTATTATAAGCCATCCAGGGGAATCATGGGCTGTCGGAATTGTTTATAAAAATAAATTTCGGGAAGATCGGATTCGGTGAACTGGAACCAGATCGACCAAGTTTTCTAGAACGAAATTCATTCTCATTGTGCTGGAAAGTGTCTGCGGATAAGATAATCACGTATTGTACGAGTATGATTTATTGCTAAGGTTTTGTGCTGAAAATTTAGCTCTGTTCGGGTTTGTCACTTGTGATTAGCTTTGCGATTTTCATTAGCATGGTTTTGTTTTCAGTTTCTGTCATTACAATAGCAGGAAGTCTGTTTATAATAATGCTGAAATGTGCGGCATAAGCATGAGTTACGGAAAATTAATAACAACATTTCCAGTTTTCCACTACTTTTACCTGGCAGTCAGCAGACCTGGAGTTGTTAATATGCCAAAACCAGTTTTTGTTAAATCGCAGGAATCTTATTCGAACTGTGAAACCGGCTAATTTCAAGTGCCCTTCACGCTACAATAACAAATAACACTCCGCACACGGCACACAGACATACGAGGAGAAATAAACGCATTACATGTAGATGGCTCCTAAACTACACAGTACTGTATATGTTCGTACAGATATAACATTATTGTCATTAAGTACGCTGCTTTCGTAACTAATTGCAGTTCTGATCCAGCGAGTAAATCCTACCTGAACGCACAAAAAAAAATTCAGCTGGTAAAATTCGGGAAGTTTAGTTCAAGAAAATTGTATAATAATGGATAACAATGCTGACATGGGTTTTGTTTTTGCTAATGTTGAAATTAATAAGAAGTAAGCTGATACGACGAATCCATAAAAATGGCGCAATAGGTTGCAAGTGTCACTATGTATGGCTTATCCTCTGACTGCCGCGAGTTTATGCTGGTCGGTTTGTTAATTTGCAGTTACGCATATTTGTGACAATAACTGTTGTACAACTACAGAAATCCAGCAACAGCAAAATCTGTAAGTGTACTACTGCAACGTACGATACATTTCATCAAATGTGGTTAGAAGCGTCGCTTTACTAGTTAGTTCTTTCTGCCCTTACAATTGCGCCGAACTTGAACATTAATCACTAGCTGTCAATTCGGAATTACCGAAAATATGAGCTGACTGTGCACAGCTACAGATTCACGGTAGTCGTAATTCGTAAGACCAGCATTTGCCGCACTGCTACATCACGCGAATAAGTGAGCCGGTTTCCCTAAACGATGCACCAGCATGGCAGCATCTATGATGGTCTATCCAGGTATGAGGCTGTGCAGACCGTCTAGAATTTCCTCGAAGTGCAGTGTTAGTCATTAAAAATAAGCTGCGTCGTTAATTGTTTTCGGCAGACATCGGATGTACTTAGATGCCGCGAGCAGAATCGGCAGGGTAATTACAGAGTCTTGTATCCTCATAAAAAGCTGTAAAGCAAATACACTTTTGTTCCTTCTTGCCAAACACGATTTCTTGCATTAGGAAGAAATGTTAGGGTAAATCATTAGTGTGATTTCAATGCAGCATCGGACGCGTTTATAATCCAATTATTTATCACCGACAGCGCCATGAGTTCGATTCTCTTTATGTTCATTTCGCTTTTTGTCCTGCATAATCCCTTCGGCGATGCTTACACGGACAACGAAAAAGGTCAGTTTACTGCAGCAGCTCCGGAAGGGTTCCCCGTCTTTTCCATGGAGCCAATGACACGTGACCAGTGTGGACGGCAATTCACTGCCAACTGTCAGCCGAATTCCACTGACAACCTGTACACGCAAACCAACTGCACGGCTAGCCAGGGCTTAGAAATGGGATGCAACGCCAGTGCGACTGTAACGGAGATCCATCAACTGGCCGTATCCCTCTCTCAACCTCCGCTACGAGCTATCTCTTTAACCCTGTACGATAACGAACAACTGACCTTTGACACGGTGGCTCCGGTTAGAACGATGACTGTGGTAATGGATTTTTACAACTGTGTGTCGCCTCGTGCAACGGGTAAACTGTATGAACTTCGTCTAACCAATTTACTAAATCTCGCCATCAACGACTGTTACGGTCTAGTGGTTAAGAAAACGGATTTTTGGCAGTCGCTTCGGCTGAGAATGATTGAGTTTTCCAACTCCACATTGCAGTACTTGGAACAGGGAACGTTTACTGACCTGCCAGGATTGCGGTTGCTTTCACTGGAGATTGATTTGGATCAGGTAGAGGTTTTTAATGATGACTTGCGCGATTATTTGAAGCGGCTGCATTGTGGATGTGATTAATTTACGCATGGCTGCGGCAGTTTCTCAGTTCCAGTCGACTACTGGGAAATGTTCGCGACGGAGGAAATGTTAGTGATCATGACATTTACTACATCCAGACCTATTCTTTTTGGAATACAGCTATAACAAAAAGGCAAATTTATCTTCCCATTGACTGCGCTGCAGAATCTTTCCCACTTGGCAATAATTCCATTGATTTCATACAGGAACGATTTTCCGTAAACGAGAATTCCTGTAAGTATGGAAAAAGTAGAAATGCTAAGCTTTGCCTTTAATAAAATTGAGTAAATTTATTACTTAATTATTCGCTGAATTTTTGGCTTTTTCAGATTGAAATTATTTCATTTTCCTTATTTTATTTGGTCGAAGAATTTGGTACTTAACTTACTGTGCATATTCAGTTTCGTGAAAACCATTCCAGTGTTATTTTTACTTTCCATTGCGCTGTTATGATGCTACAAATTTCCAGATACAAATAAATGGCAAGAAGGATGCAAGAATTCTGATGCTGACGAAGCGTTCCCTGACTTTACCCCGGATGTAATGACCCCGGAAGAGTGCGCAGTGCAGGCCGATATTCGATGTGCCTCCAACGACACTTATGTAAATTGTACCCAGGGTGCGGAAACCGGTGGTTACGGTATTCTCGACTTCGACTGCAACAACGAAAGCGCTTTAAACCGCATAAAACGAGTAGTAGCCACCATCGCCAAACTGCCGCTACGTCCAATTGAGCTGGACGTCTCTGACAAAACCCCAGTCACTTCCGATGATATCGCTCCAGTACGACGGCAGATCATCAGCTATATCTTGGAGAACTGCACCACCCCTCGCGCCAGCAACAAACTTCGTCAACTGGTACTTCCAAATCTGCTGGAGTATTTTCTCTGGCACTGCTCGAATCTGGTCGTGAAGAGGAGCGATTTCCAGTATTCTCAAAAACTGAGAGAAATTGCGTTCTACAACACGACCATTCGGACGCTGGATGCGAACGCCTTCATCGGCCTTCCTGATTTGCGTATTCTCTCTTTAGAACACGTGATCCGGACTCTGACTCCGTTGGACGAACGTCTTCGAGGATATCTGTTCAGACTGCACTGTAGTTGTGACTTTGCCGGCTTCCGACGTTGGTGGAATAATAACACGGCCTTACTGCGGTCCGCTGCGGAAGGAGAAGTGCTTAATTTTGCGGGGGGCTGGCAAAACTTGGAATATCAACGCACAGATGTGTATTTACCGATTGACTGCAAGTCTGAATACCCTAAAGAAAAACTGCTTGTCGACTACAATGCGACAAGCTTTTCGGTGCATGAACGTTCCTGTGGATGAACTTATTGTAGTTTGCAAGTACATTACAGCAGAGTACAGCAGATTTTAGGAAGTTTACTCGTACGATATTGTCAATTAAATTTTGTCAAAACCAAACCAAGAACGTGCGAATGTAGCTATCAAAACCGCTATTTTTAATTACGCATTTTGGCGGCAGCGCGAAAATTGTTATAGTTCTGGAAGTGAGCATTGTGGGTACCATAAAAACTAATAGTCAAACCACAATAATGTGTACCGCGTCAGTAGCAATTACGCTCTAAATCATTACGATGCCACCATCGTAGACGAACAAAATAACAAGAGTAGCCAGTAGGTTCAAAATGCTGCTGCGAGTTTTCAATTTGGAATAACACGCCGGGCGTAGATTTTGGAATAACACGCCGGCTATGGCGGCTATGCAGTAGCCCTGCCGCAGTACGCTGCGAACTGCGAGAAGCCGGATCGTTGTACGATGTACCAGGGGAAATCAAAAGCGAGTTGCTGCGCATGCCGGTTGATAGTCCATCGAATCATTTTTTGATTGATTAAGGTTACCCCTATTTTGGCTTTTACCGTTCGCGAATGTGGAGATCCTGCGATATCGACTCAAAACTCAGTCTTGACCATTCTAAAGTGTTTCTTAGTTAAAATCATGAAAAATTCAACCCCTGTAACCAGTATCATAGGTTCAAAACCGTTCAATAGTAAACTTTAAAATTCAACATTTGGTAATTCCGCTTAAAAATTAACTAGTCTGACTAGATTGAACTGAGATTTTTTGTACTTTTTCCAAAAAAGCTCTTGCAAGGTGCTGGAGAATCGCGTTTTATATTTTACAGGCCGGTACCATTTTAAAGTTGCAACTTGCAAAAAACACTTCGTCGGTTGCTTGATTCGACAATAACTCGAGCAAAATCAACTTTTTTCAAAATCGCCCTCGCAATTAGACTTTTACGATATCCATACATCCACTGTCAACATTTCAAAATTCTACTCAATTCCATTAGTGACTAGATAATTTTCAAAGCCTATTAACCGCATTTTTAGCTGTAGGATTTGAAAGTTCATGCAGGGATAAATCTCATTTGAAGATGTTGGCAGTCTCAGTTCACCACACATACCACGTAGGAATAGCCCGAAAGACCAACTAGACAGCCGAGTGTGCGCTGCCCAGCTACACTCATGTGTGATCAAAGTCTTTTGTCTTCAGAGTTTGCATCCATTTTGCTACGGTTTTATGACCCAGTAAAACAAAAGATACAAATCGCAACAGGTGCTCCCCATTCATTTGACTGCATGTCCAAATCTAATCGCTTGCATATACGCAGGCATGCAAATGGTAAGCCGGGCCGGTCATTAATTACAGTACTGGCTGCTCTGGGTCGAATACTTTAAAAATTCATATCTCGCCTCCCAGTTACTATATTTCTATACACTTTTCCCCACCAGATAGAGCACACTTCAGTTGGTGGGATTGCAAGTTTTGAGAAACTGGCCTTTTTGAGAAAAGCCAAAATAGGGGTAACCTTAAGTGGCAATTCCGGTAGGCCTTAATACCCAATGCCACCCGTTTCTACCTTTAAGCTTTAATAAATCGTAAATTAAAAGTGTGATTCCAGACCCGTAATATGAATGCTACAACCTAGCAATAAACTGTTGTACAAATATTTATCCCTGTCTAGAGGGCTGTACTAACCGGTTTCAAACTTGGTAACAAAATACATGTACATACTACATAGTACAGCAAAGTGAGCAAACAGATACGCAAGCACACAGACAGCCATACTAACAGACCACAGGAATATGCGAAAATGCATGGTGATGGATTGGATTCAGAGGGACGCGGGAATCCGGGTATTGCGACACACGACATGCCCCCTTCTTACTGGTATCTCTGTTACAGTTATGAGTGTGTATCAGAACTGGTATAAACTGGGAAATGTTCGATGGTAGTTTGTATCACTTGCGGCGTAAATTTTTTTTCTCTTTTTGTTCCTCTTCGTGATGGCTTGGGGCCGTTTCCGGCCATGTTCGGAATAATTGCCCAAAGGAAGTAAATTCCGAGCCCACCTTTGGTGTCCTTGCGTGGCGTGTAAGAGCAATAGCCGCAAGCTGTCTGCACAACGCACTGCCCCACACGCGTTTAATGATTGACTGACAGCAGACTGCAGCTCGCTTGAGCGTTTTGCCTGCGTCGGAATACGTTGTCTTCTGTTCGAGACTACGAGTACGAGTAGTCTGTTTTCAACATTATTTATTTTTATGGTCGTATTACAGAGCGCTGTACTGAGCAACCCGGCTCCGTGAGTGAAAACGTTCTTTGTGCACTTTCTAACAATATAGATTTCCGCGTCGTATTCCAGATGTACAGTTTTTACTACGGCTGCGTAGTTACTGTATATCATCCCTTTGCGTCGGCTGCCTGTTTATATGTGGACAACAATTACCACCTACAGTCATCAATCACCATGTCATCCCCAGCGTTCACTGCACACGCAACGAGGCAATCTACACCGCAGATATCAATGTGAACGGCGGTCCCAACTTCCCTGAAATTTTGGCGTCTATTCAGACTGTAAGTTTGACGCGCGATTTGAATAGTTCCGAGGTGAACGCAAACGTGCGGCCCAAAGTGCCAGCAGAAAAGCTGACATCTACATGCGCACTCAGGGTTGAGTGCAGAGTTGGGTAGGTTTTGCATAAAAGAGGATCAAAAACGATTATTTTATTCATGTAATTCATGTAATCGACGGTTTTACATTCATGATGCACTTCAGTGTTAGGCCAGGAGCCGACGATTGCTGCGACAACATCGTACAAATCGGTCCAGATGGATTGGAAGAGCAAGTGGAAACCTGCTTTTGGCAACAGAGAACTGCAGCTCAATCGGACATAGCGGCAGTTTGGCGAAAGTGGCTACCAACCGTCTTATCCGGGTTAAAGCGTTTCATGGTTGCAGGCGGTGCCGATAATAGTGTAACCGCCGATTACAGCCCCCCGGGCACAATCAAAATAAAAGTCCTTTGGTGCACATTGACTTTCGGTTTGCACAGCGCACTCTTTTGGATTTATTGGTTTTAAGGAAAAATCAGGAAAAGCTTTTTCATCTTCGAGATTCCCAAGTCAAAAGGTCGTACTCGTACTTGCTAAGTACACAGAAAAGCTCCATAGTAGTTCGAACTTCGAATGTGGTGTCACGATTTCCAAATGAGGATAATCGTACTGGATTAGACCCAAAGGTCTCAACCAGTTCCAAGTTCGAACCGGAAGTTGCTAATATCACTGGATTTGTGGTTTTCAAATGGCAATTAATTAGCCGCTCAAGTGTAAAAGAATAAAAGAATACTTGAAGTATGGGTTGAAAAATGGAAGACTTTGCTGCATATCGGAGGCTGAAAGTATTACCTTTTTTTATTTACGCATTTTGAGCAAACTGCCGTGAACAACCAGACGCCACTTACCTCGGACGACATCGCTCCTGTACGACGGCAGATCATCAGCTATTTCATGGAGAACTGCACGAGCCCTCGCGCAAGCGATAAACTTCGCCAACTGACCTTTCCGAATCTGCTGGAGTACTATCTTGGCCACTGCTCGAATCTGGTCTTAAAGAGAAGCGATTTTCAGTATTCTGTAAAACTCAGAGAAATCGCGTTCTACAACACGACCATTCGGACGCTGGATGAGAACGCCTTCGCTAGCCTTCCTGTTTGCGCATTCTCTCTTTAGAACAAGCGATCGTGGCTCTGACTCCGCTGGATGACCGTCTTTAGGTTTTTCTGTTTAGACTGCACTGCAGCTGTGAATTTGCCGGCTCTAGACGCTGGCGGAATAAAAATACGGCTTTACTTCCGCCTCTTGGGAAACGGGAAGTCGTCAATTTTTCCGGGGGTTGACAAAACTGGGCATACGAACGCACGGATGTGTACTTGCCGGTTGACTGCAAGTCTAAATATCCCAAAGAAAAATTGATCATCAACTACAACGCGACCAGCTTCTCTCTGCATGAACATAACTGTCGGTGAACAATGTAGTTGCTTGCAAAATACATTACAGCACATGTTTAAAAGTAGGAAATCACTATAGGCACCCCCTTACACCCTCGTTTATTATAGGCACCCCTTCTCGCACCCCGTCATTTATAGACACCCTTTTCTGTTTATAAATAGAAACACCCTGTGAGTGTATTTTATAGGCACCCTTTAGTAGCATATTTCAGATACAGAATTGCCTTTAATGCCTTTAATTAACGGGGTGCGGAAAAGGGGTGCCGATAGCAACGGGTGTTTTTGGGGTGCCTATAGTGCCACCCTTAAAAGTAATCGTATCGTATTGTCTTATTAAATGCTATCCCAAGGGAACGTAAAAATGAAATGTCAGAATCGTTTGCGAAAATAAAAGTCTTGACCTTTTGTTATCGAATTCGGTAAACTAGACCGGATTCGGTGAATCGGAAACAGACAGAGCTTCCTCTAAGCGACACTTGCTGATTCACTTCGTTTTCACTATCAAAGAAAAAGAGTTTGCAGCAGATTAATTTGCAATTTATTACTAATGGTAAGGCTTTGAGCTAAAAAGTAATACTGTTTGGGCATTTTATTTGTGATCAGCTGCGCACTTCCATCAGCATGGGTGTTCGGCGCCATTACTGCTCCTGTCATTAATCAAAACATGAAGTCAGTTCATAATAATGTCGAAATGTGCGACACAAGCATAAATAACCTAAATTAATAACACCATTTGCACTTCTGTTACCTGGAACTCATGCAGCAGACTTGAAGTTCTGAATATGCCAAAACCAGTTTTTGTTGAATCGCAAGAAAATCGATTCCACTTTCCAACTATGAAGCCGGTTAACTTTAAGTGTAATTGTCACCTAAGCTTTGCTACAGTAGCATTCCGGACACACATACAGTACCAGGAGGGATGATGTCATTGCATCATTTACGTGTAAACAGCTCCTAAAGTCTGCACAGTCATCTGAGTACGCTGCTTTCGAAACTACTGCAGTTCTGATCCAGTAAGTGAATCTTACTTGAACACAAAAAACAAATTCTAGTTAAATTCGGAAATTTTAGTTCAAGGAAAATTTGTGTAATAATGGATAACAATGCTGACATGGCTTTTTTTTGGTAATGCTGAATTAATTAATATTACTTACGTAAAGTCAATGCGACGAGTCCATAAAAATGGCGCAACAGGTTGCAAGTGTCACTAAACAAGGTACAGTATCTGCGTTTTCTGTAAAAACTGTACCTGCAATTTACGAGCACTCGGTGATGCACTACATACCTACACCATGCGAGCGCATCTATTTTTCAAATACGGTACTGATATTTTGCTGGTCAATAAACTGTGGGCCTCTGTAAACTTAAGATGTGGGCCGTTGTATTTTAGTCCACAGACAATTTGCGTGATTTGCGTGCATGCATGGCTTATCCTCTGACTACCGCCCATGCAAAGTTTATGCTGGTCGGTTTGTTAATTGAACTTGAACATTAATCACTTGCTGTCAATTAGAAATTACCGAAAATCTGAGCTGACGGTGCACAGATTCCCGGTAGTCGTAACTCGTAAGACCAGCATTTGCCGCACTGCCACATCACGCGAATAAGTGAGCCGGTTTTCCTTCAAGCATAAACTATGTACCAGCATCTATGATGGTCTATCCAGGTATGAGCCTATGCAGACTGTCTAGGATTTCATCGAAATGCAGTGTTAGTCATTAAAATAAACGGCGTCGTTAATTGTTTTCGGCAGACATCGGATGCACTTACAGTATCTGTAGATGCCGCGAGGGGAATCGGCAAAGTAATTACTGAGTCTTGTTATCTTCATAAAAGGCGATAACAGCAAATACAGTTTTGTTCCTTATTTCCAGCTACGGCATTTTGCATTAGCGAAAAATGTTAGAGTATATCGGTAGTGCGATTTCAGTGAAGTATCGTACACGTTTATAATCCAATTATTTCTTATCAGCAGTGCCATGAATTCGATTCTCTCTGTGTTTGTGTCGCTAGTTGCGCTGCATAATCCTCTCGGTTATGCAAACCCGGACAACGAAAATGGTCAGTTTACTCCAGCAACTCCGGAAGAGTTTCCCATCTTTTCCACGGAGCCAATGTCACGTGACCAGTGTGGACTGCAGTTCACTGCCAACTGTCAGCCGAATTCCACAGAAAGCCTGTTCACGCAAACCAACTGCACGGCTGGCCAGGGCTTAGAAATGGGCTGCAACGCCAGCGCCTCCGTAACCGAAATCTACCAACTGGCCGTATCCCTCTCTCAACCTCCCGTCCGAGCTGTATCTTTGACCCTGTACGATAACGAGCAGCTGACCTTTGACACGGTGGCTCCGGTTAGAAAGCTGTCAGTGGTACTGAATTTTTACAACTGTGTATCTTCTCGTGCAACGGCTAAACTGTATGAACTTCGTCTAACCAATTTACAAAGTTTCAATATCAACGACTGTTATGGTCTAGTGGTTAAGAAAACCGATTTTTGGCAGTCGCTGCGGCTGAAAATGATTTTATTTGTCAACTCCACACTGCAGCACTTGGAACCGGGAACGTTTACTGATTTACCAGGATTGCGGTTGCTATCAATGGAGAGTTATTTGGATCAAATGGAAGTTTTCAACGATCAACTGCGAGACTACATAAAGCGGCTGCACTGTGGATGTGAATATGCATGGCTGCGGCAGTTTCTCAATTCCAATCGACTACTGGGAAATGTCAGTGACCATGACATTTACTACATCCGGACATATTCTTTTTGGAACTCCGCTATGGCAAAAAGGGAAATTTATCTTCCCATTGACTGCGCTGCTGAATCTTTCCCACTTGGCAATAATTCCATTGATTTCACACAGGAAAGATTTTCCGTTAACGAAAATTCGTGTAAGTATGAAAAAAATAGAAATAACAAGCTGTGCCTTAAATAAAATTGTAAAAATTTATTACTTAGTTATTCACTGAATCATTCGCTGACTTCAACTGGAAATTGCTTAATTTTCCTTTTTAATTTGATCGATGAATTGATAACCTACTAAGCATATTCAGTTCCGTCTAAACCATACCAGTGTTATTTTTACTTTCCATTGAGCTGTTACTAATGCTACAAATTTCCAGATGCAAATAAATGGCACGAAGGATGCAAGAATGAAAGTTCTGATGCTGATGAAGCGTTCCCTGACTTTACCCTGGAGGTAATGACCCCGGAAGAGTGCGCTGTGCAGGCCGATATTCGATGTGCCTCCAACGACACTTATGTAAATTGTACCCTGGGTGCTGAAACCGGCGGTTACGGTATTCTGGGCATCGACTGCAACAACGAAAGCGCTTTAAACCGCATAAAACGATTAGTAGTCTCTATCGCCAAACTTCCACTACGTCCGATTGAGCTTGATGTCTCTGACCAGACGGCAATCACTTCCGATGATATCGCTCCAGTACGACGGCAGATCATCAGTTATATCTTGGAAAACTGCACGAGCCCTCGCGCCAGTAGCAAACTTCGCCAGCTGGTACTTCCAAATCTGCTGGAATACTCTATCTGGCATTGCTCGAATCTGGTCGTGAAAAGGAGCGATTTCCAGTATTCTCAAAAACTGAGAAAAATTGCGTTTTACAACACGACCATTCGGACGCTGGACGAGAACGCCTTTACCACTCTGCCCGCTTTGCGCATTCTCTCTTTAGAACAAGCGATGTGGACACTGACTCCGTTGGATGAACGTCTTCGAGGATATCTGTTCAGGCTGCACTGCAGCTGTGAGTTTGCCGGCTTTCGACGTTGGTGGAATAATAACACGGCCTTACTGCGGTCCGTTGCGGAAGGTGAAGTGCTTAATTTTGCCGGGGGCTGGCAAAACTTGATATACGAACGCACGGATGTGTATTTGCCGGTCGACTGCAAGTCTAATTACCCTAAAGAAAAATTGGATATCGCCTACAATGCGACCAGCTTCTCGGTGCATGAACCTTACTGTGGGTGAACATGTGGAAGACTGCAAAGTACTTGCATATTTGCAGCATATGTCAAGTAGCAGTATGTACTCGTGCGGTACTATCATAATGACTTCCAATTGGAAGCAAAATCCTTGGCCAATAACTTCTTGCAATATGCCTTTTTGCCGGTTGCCCGAAAATGTTGCAGTTCTGGAATTTAACATTCTTGTTGGTTACAATAAAAATTAATGGCCAAACCATAATAAGCTGCACCGCGTTACAATATTAAAGATATCGCTAGCGCTGACAAACAAAATAACAAGAACACAGACTGTAGGTTTAAACTGCATCTGCGAGTTGGGTAGATTTTGACGGTGATTAGAATACCACGCAGCCCTGCCGCAGTACGGTGAAAATCGAGAAGCCGGACCGTTGAACAACTGCAAATTAAACGTGAGTTGCTACGTATGCCGGTTAATTAAAGTATATCGATTGATAAAAGGAAAATAATACAGCAGGAAGGAACGCATACTGAATATTAAACTCCGAAAGCATGGCACACAAGAGTAACAGGAGAATGCAAGCCGGAAGCTGTCAGCCTGTCTGATAGGCACGTGCACAACGCATTTTCCCCCGCAAGTTTGACAGTCTATCAATAGAACCAATAGAACTTCTCTATGGTCGTAACAGAGCACTGCATTGAGGAATCCGGCTCCGTGGGCAACAAGTTTTCTTGCTTGCTTTTTAACTCAGACTTTTGCGGCGTACTCCAAGAGTACTGAATTCTGTCACCGCGACTGCTCAGTTGCATCATCCCTTGCGTCGTCTGCCTGTTTATCGGTGGACAGCGACTGCAGAGTACTTACATCTATAGCCGCCAACATGCCATCCTCAGCCTTCCCGGTCACGCGAAGTCAGACACCGACTCTGCTGTACAAATTGTCTACGAGGCTAACTTAATGGAATCGCACACGCTGTCCTATTGTACGCTGGTCTGGGAGGGTCAAAAATTTGCCATACATCGCGCAATTTGGGATGTCCGTTCGCCGGCATTTGCGGCCATGTTCCAGTACGACATGCAAGAGAAATCCACGGGAATCTGCAAAATCAAAGACATCGGCGCCGATTCGCTGAAGGCTATAATTCATTTATATGTATAAACACGAGCGGATGTGCCGACGGATGCTAATCTGATGGAGCTGTGGTTGGCGGCTGACTTAATATGACGTGGACGATCTGCGCACTGAATGTATGCGGCTGACGTTGGAGGCAGTCAGTGGGGCAACAGTAGATCAAGCTTTGTTATATTTGGACTTTGCGCGGGAGCATATTCTTAAGAAGCTGCTAACTACGGCAGCGCGAGCGGTTAGCATAAACAACGCAGTGAAGCTATACGGAAAGCGGAACGCAGTATGAGAATTGCTTGTTTATATTGGTTCATTTCGTTCACTCGGTATTTCATGAAATGAGCAGGCAGTGGGTCAATTTTCTGTGTTTGTTACGTTTCAAAATGGTACTTCTAATTTTTCTGAGCCTTGTTTCGATTAACATAAGGATACGATAGAAATAAATAGTTTGGCAACTTTTGCTATTTACGTTCACGATGAGATCAGGGAAAACTTGGAATTTTCAAATGGTTGGAAATGGAGTACACAGAAATTCGATAATTCATTGGATACAAACCGAAGTCAGCAAAAAACACACGACAAATTCGATGAAGAAAACAGCTCATAATCAGTAACTCTGATAGGTCGGCAGCGCCATCTACAGAGAGTACAACGTTGTACTGTAGTACTTCGTGTATGTATACAAGTTGTCACCGCAAATCCACTAGTAGTATCGCTGTATCGGTTTAAACCCGACCATGACTCACAGAGACTGACAGAGTCACAATAATAATATAATTTGTCAGAATAAACTCGCTTCTGATCTTTCAGCTTCCATAACTGCTCTCTGTCGCCAGCTGCAAATTGCAGTCATAATATTAAAAGACTTTCTACACGCCTTTCTGCAAGACGTTTTTAAGTCGAGGACGAAGCAGTACCACGATTATTTCTGCAGCGCAGCCATGCCATTCTCAGCGTTTCCAGTGAGCACGAGTCCGACACTGAATCTGACGTACAAAATCCCAACGGAACAGTTCGTCGCGGCAGATCTGTATTCTAATAACCAGCGTTACAGCTGTAATGTTGATGTAGAGGCCGGACCTAATTATCCGCAGATCCCATCGTCAACGTGGACCGTAACACTTAATATTGCAGTCATTAATGGCAGCAGTGGCGTAGGGAGGTATGGGGCCACGGGGCCGTGGCCCCCCCCAAAAGGAAAATTTTTAACATAGGGCCTATGGACGTGGCCCCCCCCAAAGCCAGTACTTAAGGCCCCCCAAAACCGAAACCTCACTACGCCGCTGAATGGCAGCATCGTGGCCAACGTGCAACCGAAAGGACCGTCCACAGAGTTCAAATCCCTTGGAACATTGGTTGTGGAATGTCGAGTTCGGTATGCGGATCCCTCTTGCTGCAACGTTTAACCGTTTTATTATACGTAGGCGTGCAAATGCCACCGTCCAAACAGTTCATATCATCGATTAGTACGTTTTTTTGTTTATAGTTCGGGATTAAAAGGACCAAGCGACAATGTAGTGCAAATCCAGTCAACAGGGTGGAAATCAGTCTCCGAGAAAACGGGAGATCTTCGTCAGCTTGTACAAGAGACACACTTTCCAGGCGTAAATTCTCGTCAACTTTACTCTATGAAGAAGAATGCTTTTGTTTATGTCGATCTGACATTCTACATTGACACCGAATCTCTGGATGCCGCGATTAATCGCGCCGATTTGAAGAACCTGCTGGATTCCCATACGCTTTCGGACTGTACGTTGATTTGCGAGGGACATCAGTTCTCCGTTCATCGCGCCATTCTGGCTAGCCAGTCATCCGTCTTCGCGGCCATGTTCCAGAACGACATGCTGGAGAAATCCACGGGAATCTGCAAAATCAACGACATCAGCGCCGATGCGCTGAAAGCGATGATTCACTTTGTGTACACCCGAGCGGATGTGCCAACAAACGCTAAGTTGATGGAGCTGTGGATGGCGGCTGACAAATACGACATGGCGGATCTGCGCGCTGAATGTCTGCGTGTTATGTTGCAGGCGGCGAGTGAAGCGTCGGTGGATCAGGCATTGTCCTATTTGAACTTTGCGCAGGAGCACAATCTTAAGAAGCTGCGAGCGGCAGCCGCACGAGTGGTCAGCATGGATACTGACACTTCTTGATTGAAAAGCTGCTGAGAACAGCTGCCTGTTTGTATAGATTATACCGATACTTGAAATTTGGAAAATATAAATGTACCGATCATTACATTTTTACGAATTAACTGTATTACATCTATATATTTGTATAGATACTTGGCCATATTTTTCTAGACTGCTCGCGTTTATGATCTCCGTCAGTTATAATCTCTGTTTAGAATGTCTGGCTTCGCGTTTATAATCGTCAGAATTGAATTTTGATTATTGTGCGGTAATTCATGTTCAGTGTCCTGTGTCGACTAGCATCGTAATTCTGTGTACTGTTTGCAGGGGCGTGGGACAAATTTTTCCTGTGCTATGTTTTTTTATTCATGTTGACAGTACAGGTTTATCTGTTGACTGTTAATACCAATAAAATTGATATCTCTAATACAGCCTGGCCACGCCAAGTTCGGACAGTTTTTTAAAAAAAATTATTATAAGTCATCCATAAAAAAAATATGAACTTATTTAATGTTTTCCTGGTTCCCTCATGTGTCACACATCTTCTGCAGTTGAACTTTTCAGAATAAGGACTTGCTCTGAATGGTAAGATTAAATCCGAACCAGGCCGGTCTAAAAAAGCGGATAGACCCATCTACCGCGATAGTCTTTGGCTCTTTTAAAATTTTATTAAAATTTCTGTTGAACATGCAATCAAAAAACGATTGTTTCATGATGTTGACCATTCAATGCCCTTTAGGATTATCCAAGAAACTTACCGATTTAGAGCAAGCCTACGTGACCTTTGTAGCGCGACTGCGAGCACTAATGAATCATAGGAATGCTTTCTTTGCAGACTCGCCGCACAGCCACCAGGTGTCAGAAATAGTTATTTCAAGTAGGATCTTGGACAAAAGGCACTTTGCGTCAGTTTAAGCATCTTCGTTCTCAGAACAAGCTCGCTACGTTCTGTCACGAGGACTTCAAACTACGTACAGCCATAACTTTTTTTTGTTGCAGCTTTGTCGGGTTTTTCTGCCATTTGTTTGGCACTACTGTCTTCCCGACTTTGCAGTGGACATCTGTCGAAACATTAAAATCGTTTGGTGTGGTCCGTGTGCCACTCATGGAAATTATCATTTCAATGTTGGTAGGTCTGGGCCGCTAAGCAACCGTAATATTCGGCAGGCGTCGTTTAGCATACAAGTCTACGGGTGAAAAGTTATCTTTCGAGGTCACCGCGAGCCCCAATCGCCAAAGATCTCACTGTTACCCTGAAAGGGACCCCTTTAGGTCACTCAACACTTTTCACAAAAGTTGACAAAAAAGATCAGATGGTGGATTTCTTATAGAGCTAGTTATAAGCTTTCCAGAAATGACCACTACCCTATCCCTTAAATCGTATCTCAGCTCGCTACTGACCAATCAAAATTCAAATGTTTTAATGGTACCAGATCCGCAAGAAAAAGTTACACTAGAAAAGTGCAAAACTAAAAGCAAAACGACACAAGGAAATACTGACATGCTATGCGGAAGTCGCACCGCGACAACCGCACTAGATGACCAAACCTACTCAATCGGTAGAGTGGGAATATGCTCTGGACTCCGTAAGTGGTACTACTACCTACTTCCGCTAGGTACGAGCGGATTGCTGTGCCTAACGAAAGTTACCGAAACCCAAACACTCAGGAACTTCCCAAATGTTTAATCACCAAACTGAACGAACGAACAAACAGAACAGAACAGAACGAGATATGAACTTCCTTCTAACCTAGAGTCACACGACCTTTCAGCTAGAAACAAGCTCACAGATTTAGTTGAAGTCAGAAACTTCAGACTGATTCAATATACCAGAATCATGGATGCAATTAGCGATCAAATGCGTTAGATAAGAACAGCAAATCGTACGTAACGGAACAGACAACACGTACGTCATAACACGTACGTAATACGCGCAAACTACGCATAGCGCGTTACCCCCACTGCTACAGAATTAACGTCCGCGTTAATCAAAGCAAACAAACAAACAACAAAATCAAAGAAAACTCGAAATCCAGGAAAGTACCGTAATCCTGGGGGATCCGTTTCATCATTCGCGCGTGGACTCCGGGGTGTGACGGGGGTTCCAATGGAGGTCCAAGTTGATGAAGTTGGTGTTCCGTCCAAGTCCTCCAAAGTTCCTCGTTCCACCACGCGCGTCCAGTTTCATCGTCCATCCATCCAAACGTTTCGTATCCAGGTGAGGTTTTCATCCATCCTCTCCCTTCGAAGAGCTCGAAGATCCGCAATCCGTCCGGCCAGACACATCAGAAATGGCAACCATTCTGATAAACACTGGCCACAGCCAATCATTCAAAAACACAGATCAGAACGTATAAATACCATTCATTTATCAGCATCTTCAGTGCACAAAAAAGTGGATATTTAATTTCCACTAATAAATGGCAATTACCCCAGATCACAAGAACCGAAACAACGTGGTTCCTGCCCATGATCAAATAAACACATTTTCTATCATCCAAATTACTTTCGGATGATCGCCTCAAATCCCAACTGAACTTCTTATCAAACAAAAGTCAAACAGTAACTGTACTGCTGACAACTATAGAATCAAAATGATTTTAAAATCATTTTTACAGAAATCAAACACTGCACCGCAGCACAGCGTTTTCGTACACGTAACTACCACACCGGCGGATACGGCACATAACACAGTACTCGATTAATGAGTACTTCTTTTCCTCAGTCAACAAGTTTTATAACTTTCTGAGAATTCAGCAATCAGCATCCCCTTTTTGCTGATAAATCCTGCGGTTATGAGTAGAAGCAAGTTACACTGTCAGTACACCACTGGCAATAAAACAGCGGACTCACAACGTAGCAGTCGAAACTTAGACATGAGCACTACATTGCTCACATTGAGCTTCCATCTTCCACAATTCGGCATTCATCCCAGGCCAGTAATAAAACCGCAAAACATACTTACGGACTGACAAATAATCATGCAAATTATCAGCATGAAAGCTTTCATGGCAGTCTCGCAACAAGTCCTGACGGCTAGCCTCCGGTACGACTACGCGGTGTCTACCGTACCTACCGCCCTTGCTACGGTACACAATTCCATGATAAACATGAAATCCTTCCATGATCTCTCTTTCATCCCGACTCATCTCCGCCTCGGGATTCTCGATCAGATACTTCAAGCACTTCACATAAGCACTGCCACTTTGCTTCCGACGCCAACCCACACGAGCCTGAGCACCCCCACTGCAAAGCGAGTGCCCCGTCGGACGGCGTGCCGAGCTATACTGTAACTGGGCGGCATCGCCCCCACTGCTAGCTTCATCTAATCCGACAACTTTTGCATGTTTAGCATGCACTGTAAAGGAATTAACCTCCGGCCTGCGCATCAAGAACGATCCCAAACAATTACTCTCAGGATGCTTTCCCATCGACTTCTTTATCATGTAAGCTTTAATCACCTGATCCGGTGGTTCAGCTGTCACGGGCTTACGAGGTTCCGTACTGGTGCATTTCTTTCCCACATGCGCACCATGGCATTTAAAACAAATCGGTTGTCCGTCTGGGAAATACCACTTCGCGTAATTAATGGTCACCTGCTTACCATTATCAACTGCACTTCCTTCGGACTTCTTCGCCTCATTACTAGCAGCCTTAACTGCACTGCTATCTGTCTCACTTGGCTTCCTGCCAGTGAACTGCTTTGAATCAGAGTAACCAGAACCTGGGTTACTATTACGCAGTTTGTACTGCAGCTTCAATTCTGATAAGAATTCTTCAACATCTGCCACTCTCTTCTCCTCCATGTACTTGAACCAGAAGAAACGGTTCTTCTTTAAACCCTGCTTCAGATAATACACCCGTTCAGATTCATTCAGATCCAACTTCTTGAACGACGTAGTGAACCAATCAACATACGAGTTTGGTGTATCATCATTACTGAAATGACGATCAGCAATCTTATCACGAACTGCCACTAAATCTTTCTCATCCGAGAAATGTTCCCGGATCATTTTCTTCCATTCACACCATTTCAACTTCTTATTAGAATCGTACTTATCCAAGTACCAGGTAAGCGCCGTACCAGTAAGGCAGCGCGACAGGCACTTACTGATGACGTCACCATCAGACCAACTGTTATGGTTTTTGCAATTATCCACACTCTGGATAAACTGTTCAACCTTATTCGTATCTGTCTTCCCGTCAAATTTTTCAGGATACATTGTATCAGTCCTGAATGCACCTTTCATTGCATCAGTAAACTTTTCCATATCAAACGGAGCGGAAACAATACTACCGCCCTTGGCTTCCTGTTCCTTTAAACGACGATCAAGTTCAGCAACCTTGGCTTCCATCTTGGCCAAAGCAATTGTGCTAACTTCAGAAATCGTTGGTGAGGGACTACGCGACTCACCCAAGCATTCCTGCATGTTGTGGGCACGCTCACGTAACTCCAGAAAATCTTCCACTTTGTGGTTATCCTTTACCACAAAGACAGGTTTATGAACTGCGCTGTACAGCTTTCGTACAGGTTCAGGGATATCTTGTACTACTACGCTGCGTCGATCTGCCTCAACATGCGGAACAAAAAGTGACGTCATCATCGACTGCATGGCGTCTATTATTCCGATCAACTTTCCACTTATCAACAGCAACATTAAATGCTGTTTGCTCAGCCAAAAAACTCGCATACTTTTTATTCAAGGCAGCTGTGCCTTGTTGAAAACTTTTCTGCGCCATCGCCTTCTCTAACTGGAACTTCTGCTTTTCCAGTTGCAACTTTCCGCTTTCACTGTTAACATGCTCGAACGCGTCCTGCATCAACTTCGCGTCTCTTGTCCGCACAATAGTAAGCAATTTCACGTCATCCGCCAATTTCTTTCGATGATCAACACTCTCATCGTATTTTTCGACTAAATCGTTATACTTTAAAGCTAGTGCATGATATTGCACCCTTTCTGCATCCAACTCTTTGCGTAACTGATCAACCACAGCAGCGGCTGATGACTCATCGCTTTCTTTGCCAACTTTCTGACTGTAATGAACATCAGCGTCTTCAATACGCTGATTATCCACAGCAGCCAGTTCCGTATCGTTATCATCGTTATCTTGAGTAACAACAGCTGAATAATCTGGAGCATTAATAATTTGCTCCAAAACCTTATTCATTTCTGTCAAGTCCAAGTGTTGAGTTACCACCGTATCCTTTGCAGTACCACTCAAACCACTAGCTGACAGTGCATTGCCCTCAGTGACGGCAGCTTGCACACCGCTTTGCTGCACATCCGACCCTGGACGAGCTTTACTGCTATCTGCTGCTGACTGAACAGGCTTTTTGTTGGCAAGATACTGCATCCATTTTTCATGCAGTTCAGTGCCGTATTGCTGATCATAATCATGCAAGGTCAGATGGATCGTTCGACGGGCGGGAATCTTCCTTCCTGCCTGAATCCACTGATCATAACCTCCTGGTTTTTTACCACCATTAAGATCATATTCAACCCATTCTTGACTTAATTCTCCAGTACGTGGAAGAACAATTTCCCACTTTTTGCAAAAATCGCCAACCTTTTCGTCTTCCGGTAGAAACCACTGCACTGTAGGCGGTGATAAATAGTCCGCCTTCTTCAACATGGCTTCAAACTCGTCAACGTTAATCATCCCCCTTCGACGGGACGGTTTACTTTTTCCCGTTGATGGCTCTTCCACACCATCCTCATGCCCAGCGGTTAATGCTGATGGTTCAATCACTGTACCATCCATTGCACCTGCTTGACAAACAACAGACAAGTAATCCAGGTCACCGAACCCGGATGTAAGTCTGCTACACGAATAACAGGGCTTACGCCACCACTTCGCAGTACAGTCAGTACTATTTACCAGTACGAGTACAGTATACGGACTCCCGTCCAGCACCTGGCTCGCACTTAGGAACCGTGCCTCGCGCAACCCTCTAAGGTCACTGCGGTACACACTGCGGGCAAGCACCTGGTTCTCACTTAAGAACCTTGCCTCACGGGATTCTCTGAGAATCCACGTGGTCAACCAACACAACCACACAAAACGCCATAAACCAATACCACTTACCAGACGATCCAGATTCCCAGGGGTTGTTAAAATCCGTTGGGCGCCATGACATGCTATGCGGAAGTCGCACCGCGACAACCGCACTAGATGACCAAACCTACTCAATCGGTAGAGTGGGAATATGCTCTGGACTCCGTAAGTGGTACTACTACCTACTTCCGCTAGGTACGAGCGGATTGCTGTGCCTAACGAAAGTTACCGAAACCCAAACACTCAGGAACTTCCCAAATGTTTAATCACCAAACTGAACGAACGAACAAACAGAACAGAACAGAACGAGATATGAACTTCCTTCTAACCTAGAGTCACACGACCTTTCAGCTAGAAACAAGCTCACAGATTTAGTTGAAGTCAGAAACTTCAGACTGATTCAATATACCAGAATCATGGATGCAATTAGCGATCAAATGCGTTAGATAAGAACAGCAAATCGTACGTAACGGAACAGACAACACGTACGTCATAACACGTACGTAATACGCGCAAACTACGCATAGCGCGTTAATACTTCCTAATTAATTTTGCATAACTGTCCGAACTTGGCGTGGCCAGGCTGTAATATCAATAGCGCATATTAAAGCACCAGTCTTATATATACGATGCGAGGATGCACGCAGTCAAACCGACAATAAATTTTTTCAGTCAGACCAACCGACAACCACGCACACAGGCAAATTGTTTTTTCACATAACATCCACCCGTGAAAAGGAGGTATCGTTTGCACTGTATGCGTGGAACAGGTGACAGCCATCCGTGGATGGTTGGCAGTCGCTTGCACTAGATGGACGGTTGTCGGTTGGTCTCGCTGAAAAAATTTACTGTCGGTTTGACTGCATGCATCCTCGTACTTGTACAATATTTTTCTTTTTGCAGTGCGTATTCAAAAAGCGATTTGAAACTTATGAAACTCACATACTCTCAACAGTGTTCAGTTCGTTTCGTAAATTTAAAATTTCTAAGAGTGCATGGAAATAGTTAGGTGGAATACGGCTCTTCTTTAGCCGGAAGTCCTACGGTTTCGGGCTTCGACAGCAGTTTCCCAGCCGCCCCAGGGCGCTGCGGCGAAGAAAATAATAAACTGACTCGGAAAACTGCGGCTCTGCAGCCTGCTGCCACTAAATCCGTAATGATTGCTCACCGTCAGTCAGCAAAAGTGCAGACTCTGTAAGTGCAGATAGAAGTAACTCCTATACCGCGGCGCGCCATCAATCGTAATCGCTGATTGCATTTTTGCAATCGTAAGCTTTCTTGCGTTTTCGGAAAACCGATTTACGCCTCCGCAAACTGCAGGCTGCAAGTAGTGTTGTGACTTGTGAGGGACGAAGTTCCAGTTCAGTACTGTACAGATACTGAAGCGCGGCCATGGCAATGGCATACGCTGGATTCCCAATGCAGAGCAGTCCGACACTGAATTTTTCGTGCAAAATCCCTACGGAACAGTTTGCCTTGGAGGATTTGGGCTCCAGCTCCCTGCGTTACAGCTGCGATATTAACGTAGAGGCAGGAGCTAACTATCCGCAGATCCCATCGTCTACCTGGACCGTCAAAATCACGATTGGCGCCATTGACGGCAGTATTGTGGCCAATGTAGCTCCGAAAGGACCGTCCAATCAGACCAAATCGTCTGGTACATTATTAGTGGAATGCCGGGTTAGGTATGCCACATGCGGAACCATCTTTGGAACCGTATTTGTATTTGTAAACTGACAAGTGCCAGGATGCCAACGCAGTCTTGTTTTGTGTTTGCAGCCCGAGCTGGGAAGGATCATGTGACAACGTTGTACGGATCGATGAAACTGGATGGAATTTAGGCCCGGAGAAACTCATCCAGCTTAACCAGCTTGTCCAGAAAATATGTTTGCCCTGTGGAAAGAGCCACTGCTCCCTGAAGAAGAACGCTTTTGTATATGTCGAGTTGACATTCCACATTGATCTTGATTCCCTGGAAGCTGCGGTTAATCGTGCTGATTTGAAGTACCTCTTTGATTCCCATATGCTTTCGGACTGTACTTTAGCTTGTCAGGGACAGGAATTCCCCGTGCATCGCGCCATTCTGGCTGGTCAATCGCCTGTCTTCGCGGCCATGTTCCAAAACGACATGCTAGAGAAATCCACGGGAATCTGCAAAATTACCGACATCAGTGCTGATGCTCTGAAGGCTATGATAGAGTATGTATACAAGCGTGAGGAGGTGTACATGCCAACGGATAACGGATTGATGGAGCTGTGGACGGCGGCCGACAAGTACGACATGGCGGATCTGCGCGCTGAATGCCTGCGCGAGATGCTGCGGATGATGAAGGCGGATACTGCTTTAACCTATTTCGATTTCGCTCGTCAACACAAACTGAAGAAACTCCGAGCGGCAGCTGCACGGCTGATCAGTCTGGATGTGAACGAGAACGAATAGATCTTGCAACATGTTTGTGCGTTTCGCTTTCTGGCGGCTGACTGGGTCAGACCGACTGTTTTGTTCCCATGATTTTGTGGAAGTTTTTTCGCTCGTGTCTGCAAACAGAGTGGATTTTATCGTCCAGACTATTGGAGCGAACTATTATCCTGCATGCGTTAATGGCGTTGTATGTTTTAATTCTTTTGCTTTTTTTGGTGGATCTGAGGCATTTAAAGTGCAAAATGGAATTGTTTTATTGTGACCACTTGCTGCTCTCGTTTGCAGAAGTGTATCTCCGGTCTTTAGCGTTCTGTATACCCGTATTCAAAACAAGTAAAACTGCAGTGCCGAACGGCAGAGCTTTCTTCTGTTCGCAGGATAATAATGTCGACAATGAAAAAGTTTTCAGTGAACGTTATGTCACCAGGCGGCTACAATTGCCAGCCATCTATGTGTGTTATCCGCAGATACAAGTATCTGGCCAGACTGGCCCTATTTCTACCTGCCCTTTATTACAAACCTTATAACCAGGAAAGAAAGCCAGGACCAGAAGCGCAACGCTCCTAGACTACCGGCGCTAAATCTGAAATTGCGGATAAATGCAGATGATGCTACAAGTTTTTCCAGACGGCCAACCATACTGCAAAGGCTCATTGAACACGTCAGCTTCGTTTTCTTTCTTGTTATAGAGGTTGCATGTAGTCTGCCTGTTCTCGATTAACAGGATGTCTATACAGTAACTTATGAAGTACTCTGTCCTTAGGTAGAAAATGAAGGTTGGTTGGCGGCTTGCGATGAGAGATTCTCAGATTTAATACCAAAGCAAGCGACAACGGTACAGGTATTCGCGGTAGTTCATGGATATGAATCGCGTTTGCCGCACATTGTACCAAACGAAGATGAAAGCCGGTTTTGCTCCAAGCATAGACCATGTGACTGTACAGCTTGATCCAGGTATGCAGTACCGCGATTCTGTGCAGATCGTTTAAAGTTTCGCCGAAGCGCGGCGCTTCTCGTTAAGAAACTGTGTCGATAATTGTTTCAGCGGACGCCTAGTTAGATGCCGCGAGGAGAATCGGACATTAATAACTCAGCTGATATGTAGCCTCGGATTCTTATAAAAGGTTGCAATACTAAGGCGCACATAACTGCTCGCTGCGTTTCCGTTTCTCGTTTAAAGCAGGATGTGTACCGTACGTATAACCTATTAACGATAAATAAGTTAACAACTATCGCCAACAGCGCCATGTATTCGATTTTCTTACTAGTTGGTTTGCTGATTGTGCTGGATAATCCTCTCGGTTATGCATACACGGAAAGGCGGGAAAGCGAAAACGGTCCGTTTTCTGCAGCAGCCCCGGAAGAGTTCCCCGTCTTTTCCTTGGAACCGATGGCACGTGATCAGTGTTGGATGATGTTCACTGCTAACTGCCAGCCGAATTTTACAGACGCCGTGTTAACCAAAGTTAACTGCACGCGCTACCAAGGCTTGGCACTGCACTGCAACTCCAGCGCCAGTGTAACTGAGATCCGTCAACTGGCTGTATCCCTCTCTCAACCTCCGCTACAAGCTATCTCTATGAAGCTGTACGACAGCGTGGAATTGACCTTTGACACGGTGGCTCCTGTCAGAAAGTCGACTGTCATTTTGGAATTGTACAATTGTGTCTCTTCTCGCGCAACGGGTAAACTGTACGAGTTGCGGATGCCCAGTTTACTGGATTTTACCACGTACAACTGCTACGGTTTAGTGGTTAGGAAAACGGATTTCTGGCAGTCGCTCCGGCTGAGAATGATTCAATTCCACACTGCAGTTCATTGAAAAGGGCACCTTTACTGATCTACCAGGGTTGCGTTTACTTTCGTTGGACAATCGTTTGGATCAGATGGAAGTCTATAGCGATAACCTGCGCGAATATTTGAAGCGGCTGCATTGTGGATGTGATTACGCATGGCTGCGGAAATTTCTTAGTATTAACAAACTGTCAAGAAATGTTAGCGAGTGTGACACATACTCTATCCCGACAAATTCCCACTGCAACGACGCCACGGCAAAAAGACAAATATATCTTCCCGTTGACTGCGCTGCCAATCCTTTCCCGCTTGGCAATAATTCCATCGACTTCGCTCAGGAAAGATTTTCCGTAAAAGAGAATTCATGTAAGGATTCGAAATAGTCGAAATAATACACTGTGGCTGACGGCTGACATAAATTTAAATAAATTTTACAATTTATTTGTAAACCAAAATGTTAATTTACTAAACTGACGAATTACAAGTTTAATTATATTTTCAGTTTGTCATTACATTTTCTTCTCTATAATTGATCGATAAATTTATGAAATGGCCCCACTCCTCGTAATAACCCATATTAATATTGCGGATAACTTTTGTTCAGTGCCATGTAATTTACTTTATTTTCCGCTGAGCTGGGACTTCTTTTATTTTATTTTTACAATTCCTAGATGAGAATAAATGGAAAGAAGGATGCAAGGATGACAGTTCCGGAGTTGACGAAACTTTCCCTGACTTTACCCAAGAGATAATGACACCGGAAGAGTGCGCTGTCTTGGCCGAAGGTCAATGTGCCTCTAACGACGTTTATGTTAATTGTACTCTGGCAGCTGGAACCGGCTTTAATTATGCTTTTTACGACACCGACTGCAACAACGAAAGCGCTTCGAGCCGCATAAGACGAGTGGTAGCCTCCATCGCCACACTACCGTTACGTCCGATTAGCCTTGGTTTCTCTGACCAGGCACCAGTCACTTCTGACGAACTGCACGGGCCCTCGTGCCAGTAACAAACTTCGTCAGCTGGTACTTCCAAACCTTCTGGAGTACTTTGTTTGGCACTGCTCGAATCTGGTCGTGAAGAGGAGCGATTTCCAGTATTCTCAAAAACTCAGAGAAATTGCGTTCTACAACACGACCATTCGGACGCTGGATGAGAAGGCCTTCACTGGCCTTCCGGATTTGCGCATTCTCTCCTTATATCAGTGGGCTTCGACCCTCAGACCGCTGGGTGAAAGAATGGTGAATTATCTCTTTAGGCTGCACTGCAGTTGTGAATTTGCCGGCTTTCGAGGATGGTGGAGTAATAATACGGCCTTACTGCGGTCTGCTGAGGAAGGGGAAGTGGTCAATTTTGCCGGAGGCTGGACCAGCTATGAATACGATCGCGAAGATGTTTACTTGCCGGTTGACTGCACTAAGCCGAAAGAAGAATTGTTTATCGATGACAGTGCGACTGGCTTCTCGCTGCATGAACCTTATTGTGGGTGAATAACACTGATTACAGCTCAATGGAGAATTTGCTTCTACTTCTACTGCTTCTACTGGAGTATTAGGAAATACTTTAGTTTTGGCTTTAAGCGCTTTTTCGCCAAAATAGAAATTATCAGTGATTTGTAATAACTTGTAAAGAGTAACAATTAAACTTTGAACTTTTTGAAAGCCACCATCATTGCTGAACTGAATAATAAGACTTTACAGTATCTGGGAGTTTGGTTTCGACAATGGCTGAAATACCAGCACAGTACTACCGCAATACGCTGCACATTGGACATCTGTCTGTTGGGCAACTTCGAAATACAAACAGGAGAAGCTGCGTATGCTCGTCTAGTTTTTTTATTATTGCACTCGTCAAGCAATGGCAACGTAATAGCTGCTGTGGTTTATAACCGTTATCGATGTATTGTACAAATACGTCACTCCGTTCGATTACTGTATTTTTATTTTTTCTGTGATACCCACCTGAAACGTAAGCATCACAATATATTTTCTTATGACAATGAATCCATCTCTGCCTTCGTTACGTTTTAAAAGTTTCAGCGCTAACTGCTTAAGCTCTCTTTTTGTTCCAAATATGCTGGCCCAGTAGAGACTATCTGTACGTGTATGACGCAAGCCATACACATACTGTAGTCCCTATTGGGCCAGCATATTTGGAACAAAACTACGTGTGCATATGGCTTGCGCCATACACACAGCCGTGTTTTCAAAAAGATGCTTGACAATGAAATCACTAAAAATCTGAAAGGTTATACGTGTCGTACAGTCGTAGTACCGGAGACCGGCATTTGAAATAAAAGGAAGTTACCTGAGAAATCACCGTAGAGATCACCGCTTAGGCCATTCACGTTTACTACGGTGATTTCTCACGTAAAGCCGTGACTATTTGTTTACAATTAGATGGGCTTGTACTTACTTACTTATGTTTGCACAGAACCGCTCGTAAATAATCCGGCTAATTGAGTTGTTTGAGACGACTCAATAATGGAGGTAATTACATCATTTACATGTACAGACATAATATGTGACTGATAAGAATAACGCTGGGACACTGCCGGGGCACATGAGTCGAATGTGTATTCGGCTGCAGCTTAGCAACAGACTCTGTTAGCGCTGAGTTGACACCCTCCCACCAAAAACAATACCCTTCAGCCGTCTCAATTTTATCACATAATTACAGTACTAGGTCGCTAGTAGCCACAATCAAATATCACACTTTCTGAAAAAATAAAAAAACATAGGATTTCTCTAAGGAATTTGTTCTGTGGCGAACGAACTATGGTTGCGTCTGCAGCGCATGCTGCGCAGCCATGGCGTTCTCGGGGTTTCCAATGAATACAAGTTCGACACTAAATCTAACGTACAAAATCCCCACCGAGCAGTTCGTCTTAGAAGATGTGTGTACCAACAGCTTGCGCTACAGGTGCGATTTCAACGTGGAGACGGGACCTAATTATCCACATATTCCATCGTCTACTTGGACCGTAACGCTCACGATTGGAGTCATTGATGGTGAGATCGTGCCCACCGTTGAACCGAAAGGGCCGCCAACAGATACACAATCTGCTGGTACATTGATTGTGGAATGTCGGGTTCGGTATGTAGAGCCTTTTTGTTTTTTCGTTAAACAATGACTATTTTGCAGCAATTCGATAATTTGCTGCAATCTTGCTATAACTCGAAATGCGCTCAATATTCTTTGCCATTTGATCGCATATCGCAAAAAATAGCCAGGATTTATTTCGCCGCACAGTAGTCGGCAAAGTGACCTTTTATTAAAAGTAAAAGTTTTACTGCTCCTACGAGTAGCCATTAGATTGCAACGGTCTTCTGCTATTTTGCCTCGGGTTCCGTGATATGGATTGGCGTAATTACTATCATTAGTTTAAAAAAATAAGTTCAAGGCAGCAGCATGAGTATTTCAGTTTTGTAAAATGCAATAAGCCATAGCTTCTTTCAGACACGCCAATCAGTTTTCAGTTATAATAGTTGCGCAGGCTGCGCAACTGGTGATGCAACTAGTGATAAATGATGCTCCCCGTACCCAAATGAAGAGGAAAGATCGGTCCCTTTCCGATGAGTACTTCAAAGAAACTAATTTTACTGGTTAAAAGGCAACACCACCAGTAGTTTAGTACCAGTGCTGCATTTGCGAAATCGGATGTGGACCACTTAGTGGTCCAGTAGTGGCCATCAGTCTCATTAGTGTTTTCTCAACTCAGCTCTAGCGAACGGCCATTCTGGCGCAACACGCTGAAAGAAAGATAATCAAAACCTTAGCTTGCAAAGTATTGTTATTCGGCTACAGATAACCGTAAGAGCAATTCACGCAACTACCGGGGGGTGGTAAAATGGCCACTTCATTTACGCGTATGACGTATGTTACTTCGTAGTTCGTAGTAGTGTGCTCATAAAACGGTACAACGTAACCGCCAACACCAATTAATTTATTATGTTCTGTTTTAACAGCCCGACGTTTAAGGGATCATGTGACAATGTTGTGCAGATCGATCCAAGAGGGTGGACTAATGACACTGAGACACTGGAAAGCGCTAGCGAGCTTGTCAAAATAACACGTTTGCCCTGTGGAAAAGACCATTGCTCCCTGAAGAAGAGCGCCTTTGTGTTCGTCGATTTGACTTTCCATATGGACGAGGGCTCTGTGGGGGCTGCGGTCAATCGTGCTGACTTAAAGAACCTCCTGGATTCCCATACGCTCTCAGATTGTACTTTGGTTTGTGAGGGACAGGAATTCCCCGTGCATCGCGCCATTCTGGCTGGCCAGTCACCCGTCTTCGCAGCCATGTTCCAGAATGATATGCAGGAGAAAGCCACAGGGATCTGCAAAATCAACGACATTGGTGTCGATGCTTTGAAAATAATGATCGAGTTTGTATACACGCGAGCTAGTGTGACAACGGACGACAACCTGCCTGAGCTATGGATGGCGGCCGACAAATACGACATGGCGGATCTGCGCGCTGAATGCCTGCGTCTGATGCTGCAGGCGATAAAGGCGGAGACTGCTTTAGGCTACTTTGACTTTGCGCGTCAACATAACCTGAAAAAACTCCGAGCGGCAGCTGCACGACTGATCAGTCTGGATGCTAAAGAAAATGACGGAATGGCTTAATACGTCCGTTTCTCTCCATTCTGATAACTGCGTCGGTGTAACTGCTTGTATGAATATTTATATATTACTGCATTACTCGCAAGTCGCAATCAAGGCTGCTAACCTGTCCAAGGAAATCAGGGCAAATGTTATTACGGTGCACGTGTTGTATATCATGATTTTTAGGTGGTTCATGCAGTTAGTTTATATGAGCTTCAATAGGGTTCGTGGGGTTCTGCTATGAACACATCAAAGAGCATGCAAACGTACACTTTCACTGTTCGTGTAGATTTAAAGGTCAACAAGAGTGAAGCACTATTATGCCGAGCGTCAGCTTGGCATTTTCTTTCTTGTCTCCATTCTTGACACATGAGAAGTATCTCGGCAATCATTTACAGAGTCCGTACCTACCGTATTTGTTCATCGGTCCAACTGCAGCTGTCGGTATCGTTGACTGATCCGCTTCAAATACAGTAATTGCAACGATTGTTTATGTCATATCAGGCGCATGTGTTTGTTTATTAAGTTGCAAATGCCTTTTTAAGTATCGCTATTTAAGGGCAAACTGAGTACTAGGTACTCTGTATGTCTTCAATCAAAATCACGTACTTTTTACTTGTTTGTTTGTTTGTTTAATCAGCTCAATGTCTACAACAATCAGGATGATCCTGCACGAGGTGGTGTGGTAAAACAAAAGAATGTGCTGTCACAAAGGTGAAAGCACTACGTTAAACAAACTGACAGTATCTGTACAACAGCAAACCTACAATTAGCAACGTACTGCGTAAGTATCTGCAAACTTTCCTGCGTTAACGTAGTTGACAGTTGCAGACAGTTGCCACAGGTGATCTCGGATCACGCGAAAAAAAAACAGATGTGAAACGATTTCGCCCGTAGACTGCGACGCTAATCGGCCCGTGTTCGTACCTTCATTGCTTACCAGCAAAGCTGAGTTCTGACAAGCGGATTGTCCCAAAATAATTAATATACACGAATAATTTGCATAAGGGGAACGTAGAAGTACAGATTTCTACAGCACCAGTTATGGTTGTAACTGTCTATAAGCGATTTCCTGGTAACCCCTGCTGCCGCGCATTTCCGGTTGAAAATGCCTACATATACCAGTATTTGCTGCGATTATGTCTCTTGGCGCTTCGGGTAAGTTCGCTGCCGGTTTTGCCACGGTTCGGCTTTTTTTCCGGTTCATGATGTCATAGCGTTCTTCGCAGCTGCGCACTCATCGTCGTCAGTTTAGGCTGTTTAGCAGTAGATATCCTCTCTTGCATCTAGGGACTGCATCATTCGTGTTTGTGGACAAGTGACAACAACAACATTTCGAGTCGACACCACAACATGGCATCCCCAGCTTTCCCCTTCAACCGAAACCAGACATTGAATCTACTGTACAAACTGCCTACGGAGCAGTTTGTTTTGGGGAACATTACGAAGGGCGAAACGTGCTACACTACAGACATTAATGTGGACGGCGGTCCCAACTATCCTCAGATTCCGTCATCTGTCTGGACAGTGAACCTGTGCATCGGATACAACCCTGTGGATACGCTTTGGACCGCGTCGCATGTCTGGCCCAAGGAGCCTTCGGACAAGCTGACATCGGACTGCGCGCTGACAGTGGAGTGCCGAGTTCGGTAGGTTTTGTATGAACCATCACTAATGATTCACTATTATGTACATACGTAGTATGGCATTAACCGTAAGTTATGAGGTGAACCACCACTACGGTACAGTTAGCTGGCTGATAAAATTATCCATTTTGGCACAAACCGTGATTTGCGTTATGTAACGATAGGAGGGGCTCTCGACACGCGCTGTAAAGATCTTCTGGAACTTACAGAGCGTTTTGTGTGGGCTTGTGATTTGCGAGTGCGTGCAAAGGTATAGAAGTTCTGCAGGGACGTCTCATGTTTGACAAAGAAGGGGGTGTCAAATTTTGACGGTGGCACTCGCTTTTGAAAAGCAGGGGGAGTCAAATCCTAAAAACTTGCCGGTGGCCGCCAACCCCTTGACTTATTGCCTTCTCTGGGTTCCTTCAACTTATAGAACACTTCTTATCCATATCTACACGGCAATGTCCGATGATCTTCGCACCTCACAGTATGCTGCACAGTTAGCACAAATGGTGGTTAAGCTTATTAACTGTAAAGCTGTATTCCGCCAAGTTGTTAGAGCGAGAATACTGTATGTAATCCGTTACCATTTGCCGGATGCAGACTGCCACAAAAAAAGACCGTCTAGTCGCATGCCTTAATGCTTACACTTCACAACTTCGCAGCATTTCCATCGACATTCCTCTCCGTTCACACTATCCAACATACCACCCAAGTCCAAGACTATCGATACACTTCTCTCGACATATGAAAGTTATGCAATAGCATGATCCACAGGTACACGCGCCGATTATGACCATACACACTAGACCGACGACGCGTTGGTGGTATTTGCGGCTAGCACTTACTGGTTAGAAACTCGAATCTCTTAACTGGTTTTGTATGAATCAAAAATCGCTTTGTAATCTACAGTACCAGTACTTTACCAAGGTGGTTTCGGGTGCCCCTAGTGCTAAATGGTAATTCATGACAGTGATTGACATGTTATGTACTTTGCTAACTAGGCCGGACGCTGAGGGTTCTTGCGATAATACCGTACAGATCGATCCAACCGGGTGGAAGTCCATCCGCTCGGACGATCTCACCAAAATTGTGCGCTTTGGGGATACTCACTGCAGTTTAGCGAAGGACTGCTTCGTGTACGTGCAGTTGACATTCCGCATTGATCAGCAGTCCAAGAATTCAATCGGTCGGGCTGACCTGCAGCGCTTACTGGAATCACAAACGCTATCCGATTGTACGCTGGTCTGTGCTGGCCAGCAGTTCGCCGTGCATCGCGCCCTTCTGGCTGGTCAGTCACCGGTCTTTGCGGCTATGTTCCAGAGCGACATGCAGGAGAAATCCACGGGAATCTGCAAAATCAACGACATCAGTCCGGATGCGCTGAAGACGGTGATCCAGTTTGTGTACACTCGAGCGGATGTGACAGCGGGCGGCAGTCTGATGGAGCTGTGGATGGCGGCTGACAAATACGACATGGCTGATCTGCGCGCGGAATGTTTGCGTGCGATGTTGGTCGCAGCGAGTGAGGCGACGGTGGAGCAAGCGTTGTCCTATTTCGACTTTGCGCGGGAGCACAATCTTACCAAGCTGCGAACCGCAGCGGTGCGGGTGGTCAGCATGGACACCGGCACTTCCTGAATCATCTGCTACTGAACACAGTCGCAGTATCGCCTGTTTGTATTGATTGTTACATGTTTTACCAATTTTATGATTATGTAAAAGTTACAGTATGCATTTCATTTATTTTTGTGGGAACACAGGCTTATGGTTCTTTCGTTTCGCAGTCTGGAATAGAATTGAATTACGTTTTTTTATTGCATCATAAATCGGTCTCACTTTGTTGTCATGTGTACAATCTGCGGCAATTTTTTTACCATGTTAGTGTTATTATTCATGTTTTGTATTGTGAACACCTGGAAATTCATCTCGCAATACAGCCTTATACAGGCAAATAGCGATCTTATGTAATCCTCAGAACACATTATGTAATCCTTATGTACGGGCATCTACATCACTATTCACAAACTGTTTAATTCATCATAAATTTAGAATGTTGAGAATTACAGTCTGCGAAGAACTCCATTCTTACAAAATTTTACGGCTAACTAGAAATACCATTGAGTGCTGTCCCGGTCGATCGAGCCCGTATGACTAACTGCGCCGGACCGTCTAGAAAAACTGCAATAAACACCAATTCTCTAGACTCTGTACGGTATCGTGCTGGCGATCAAGGTGTGAGTAATACGGTAAAGCATAAAAACGAAGAATTTGCGGACTAATACGAGTACCGGAGGACGTATAATTAGTGATTCATCAACCCTCCACATAAGTGCTGCCTCCAACATTGATTTAATGCTTTCGTCTCCGTTAAACAATTTTACGTTAACAAATTCAACAGTTTACAGACGGTTTTTTGTCCATTGTTTTAAACTGTTATCTACAAATAACAAAAATAAACCTTTCTCGGTGAATTTTGTGCAGCCTTAACAGAGCGCATAAATTTTAATTTGCGCTATTAGAAGCATTACCGTTTGATTATACATATACCGGTTCTGGCAAACATGACGAGTGGTGTTCACAATCCTATATACGACGATCCCGCGGTAAGTTTTGTAATTCCTTTGTTATAGTATGCTAGGTTAAAATAACCACCAAATACCACTGGTTTGCAGCAGCTGCTGTATATACAGACACTGTACATGATTAACTGATTTTAGTGGAATAACGATGAGCGATTAGGATAAACAGAACAAATACTTTATGCGTTTTATTCCGCAGCTGGTAATTAAATTCACCAGGAAGTATTCCGACGCCGATATGACGCCCAGTTCAGTCGATGCTGAAAAACAAGAAGCCACACTAGATCACAAATGGAGCAGGAAGTCACTCATCATTTGGTGGGCCGCCATCGTTTTCACACTCTCGGTATTTACTATTTTTTAAGATTTTTAATCTTTTTAAAGGAAGCCGTGCAATCGCCTGCTTGGTATTGCTTCTTGTGGTGAAAACCAACGAATTATAAATTCTGAATCAAGTACAGTAACTGCAGCGTTTACCGAAATCAGATTTGATGCGTTTGTTCTCGTATAGATAGTAATGGGTGCTTGTGCTGTTGCCATCTTCCTCCTGCTTCCTGCTGCTATTCCCGCAGCGCCTGATCTTGACCCAACTCAAAACGGAGACGTTCAGTAAGTCGCAATAGAAGTCTCGTGTTAACGCTAAAAGTGTTAATTCCACTGCTCATCTTACTCGTTTTTACGCTTTGACGCTGTATCGATTTGTGGTCAGTTTGTCTGATTAATGTTTTTGACATAAATCTTACTGATTTTGTTTTTAGGCTCCTCGATATTGATGCGCCCGGTATTTAGCGATCTGGAAATTACTATATAGCAAATGCTGCACCGCTTCGAATCTGAAAGAGCCGGACACCGGACGCCGAATGTGACAAATATACAGTCTGTACAGCGCACAATAGCCATCAACATCTCTAATCAGAAATTAACTTGATAAAGAAATTATTGGATTTTTATTTTTATGTTTAGCACGGCTGCTAGTTGTGTTCGGTATTCTCTAAAATTTTTTATCCACCAAGAATAAAAATGTTATAATGGCCAAAAAGCGAGAAAAAACATTCTCGCGTCCCTATAATGTTCTAAAAACCGGCTTGGTTTTGCATGTAGTTACAGTATGTTAAATCAAACTCCTTATAAAAGCCTTAAACGGTGCTCTGGGAATGGCTTTAATTCGGGATGTATTGTACAGTACAATACTCTGTTTACAAAATTAAGCTGATTAATTTATCGGGAGTGGCGGCTACGGTGCGGCTGTTAAACAGAAAGAATTCACGTAAACCGACATCATATGTAAAGTCTTTGTGACTCATTACACGGATCGGTATCGCGCTGGAACTGTACTATTTAGATCGCTGTTGTGATAAAGATATGGGTGCTGCTTCACAATGGTGTATAATATCAAACTAGCAATTATAAAAACCGTAATACACTGATGAATCATTACACGCACAGTGCAGCTGACAACACTGTGTGCTCCAGAAAGGACTGCTTTTGCACGGCTCTAACGACGTTATTATGCAGTAACATCAATTAAACTGGCTGATACAGCATACTGTTGTAAACATCCGATACCAGAACGTCGGTAATCATTATTTACAGCATTTTTTTAAAATTTACATGTACCCAGATTTCAGTTGCACATTTTGATGCGGTTGCTTTACAGTTTATGCACGAGTATCGCTTCTTATGTATGTTGATCTGCAAAGGAAATCACCATGTCCAGTAATGTGCGATTTGCCTACAATCCAATATATGACGATCCAACGGTAATTATAGCCATTTCCCAACATTTGGTATTGCTTGTAAGTTGTACAACGTTGTGACATTTTCAGCTGACAATGAATTCACCAAATGAAACGCAACAGCACTCCTACTCCGACGCCGACACAATACCGATTATTCAGAAATCTGTCGAAATACCGGAAATGGCGCCAATTGTACAGGAAAAGTCGGATCAGAGGAAACTACGCTGGATCCGCTGCGTGATCATCTTTGTGGTCTTCTTGCTGGTAAAGTCTTCTGCACTTTGACTTTGTCATTTACTGGGATCTGGACAAGATGCAACGATTGATCATTATGCAATAAAGCGTTTAATCTGCCACTACTTTTAGCGCAAAAGTACGACGTACGAGTATTAACAAAATTAATTATTTTCAGTTATACTGTATGTACACTGTTAACAAATATCGCGTAGTCAGAGACTCAGCAGCCACTAACTGCGTGTAGTTTTCGCTGTACATTTTGATTTTGCAGATGATGATACTTCTATGCATCCTCGGTATCTTTCTGTTTATTTACCATCACCGTCTGACGGAAATCGAAATGCGAAGTGAGTAGCCAACTTTTCGACCTCCTTACCCTTTTTAGCCTTATGATTCTACTTCCATTTGCCTGCTACTATAAGTTAAATTCATTGTCAGTACCACGTAAAACCAATTAAACGAGTACTGTGTAGATGCCTTGCCGACCACCACCGAGTTCCCCGTCACCACCCCCACGAACACTCTCGTCGACCTTACTGGTGAAATTATCGATGCCGACACCACTGATCCGATTCACAACGCGACCATCTCCGCCCTGTACTTCCTAACCTTAAACACGGCGATCCAGGCCGTCAGCAATATCGACGGGGAGTTTGACTTCCCCCTGAACGTGACCACCAAATACATCCTCCTGTTCGAACACCCCGCGTACCGTCCCGTGGAGATCCCGCATTACCACATCAAAGCGGCGGACGTCGATCCCGAGCCCCTGCGTATCCGCATGATCAGTCAGAGTAAGGAGTTTCTGGCCAACGGCCCGGGAGTAGTACAGGGAAGTGTCCTGGACGCCAACACCAGCCAACCGCTGGCCAACGCGACGGTCATCTTCCGCAACGGTCTGCGCAACGAACACGGCGGGGTGGTGGCCACTCTCTCCACGACGGCTAACGGGACCTGGGAGATCCGTCTACCGACAGGACACTACACTGTATGTCTGGAGAAAGCCGGCTACAAACCCGAATGCCTGGCCGTGGTGGCGCTGGCTAATCGCACGCGCACGTATCCACACCAGCTGAGTTATATGTACCGCGTCCTCACCGTGCAGTTCCTCCTAGAATGGCGGAACATTTCGAGAACGGTCTTAACCGGGACAGCAGAAGGGTCGGGTGTAACCGTCGTCAACCAGACGCAGAGTTGTCTGGCGACGTCCTGCCGGAGCACGCTCACCGTCAGTAAATTAAGTCCCGGACCGTTTTCGTATGCCGTGCGTCGTACGGAGGCTTCGTCCTCGGCGCTGGATGCCGGAGGATTTGACGCCTCGGTGACGGTGTACATTAAGGGGGTGGTACGAGGTCACTATCGGGCACCGCAACGCAATGGCGCCGTCTGGGATGTGGTGGTTATCGACGGGGCGGGGGGCAAGCGTCTGACGGAAATCAACACTGTACATAACTAGAATTATTGCATCCTAGAAATCGCTGCTTGCGGACGTTTCGCTTTGTAATGTTGCATTAGGTCTTGTCGGCTGTTTTGGTTCAGTTATCTTTGTATGTCCCAGTCTGAATGTCAAATATTATGTTTAGCGGCCTTTGGTACCGATGGTACGTATCTGTATATGCACATATGCACCGCGAATGAAATAAACACAACTTTGTACAGAAGTCCAAAAATCGCTGCAGTTATCTGCGACGCTACTGTACTTTCATGAAAAGGCTGCAGTTAAACATTAATTTTGTCAAAGACACCAGATGTGAACTGCTCTAGAAATTTCGATTTTGCCATTTTCAGAAAGAGCTGCATCCTACCAGTAGATGATCAATTTTTCACCTTTGTAATTTTTACGCGGTCGATGCACCGCTTTTTTCGTGTTGTATGTACTTACGAAATGTTTTTACACATGGGCCAGCTTTTGTACAAAAACTAATGGAAGAAACGAATAAACAGTTTGCCGGTATCGCGGAGTGCAAGACTGCTACACACTGGCTATCCAGTGTGAGTTTCGTGATGGCCATGGGGAAAGCACCTGTTTCCGCGGGTTGTAATCATTTATTTGCAAGTTACAGCTACAATATGCTGGTCTATTTGTTTTAAGCTGAAATTTAAACCTGAACGTGCCACATGAAAATCAATCTGCTAGCGTCATGCATTGTGTACTGCACATAGAACACAAGGGATGTAACAGGACACCGGATGCCGGCACTACTACTATGCGCAGCTCCTGATGGTGAGTGCTCCCACTGGGCACATGGTCTTGCTGAACCATTCGTTACCGCTTCAAATACAGCTCGCTGAATTCACAGTTCACACAACCCTGCTCGGTTTGTTTCGACCTAATTTTCTCCGCTATCATAGAAACGATGTGCATCCTGGATCTCAGTGCTGAGAAGATCAGTACAAACCAGAACGCCGTTGCCGGTAGCAGAGCTAAGCCAGCACTGCTAAGGGGACCGGATGTTCTGGGTTTTACTTCTGATGCCCGTATTTTGATCTTCTCGCACCCATAGTACGCGGATGTCGATCAATTCAGATTAAGTTTGGGAGTGGGTTAAACTTGCTCGATTGACTTACTGTCGGTGTTCGACATATATTCGCTTCACACTGCCGCAGAAACTTCCTGCATCATTGCATACGCAATATCCACCAATAATCCACGCCGTCAAATTTGTGTCGTTACTCTTTTGCCAACTAATCCTAATGACCTAATCTATCGATTGCCAACTACTGTAATCCTATGTAGTATTTTCTTGAACTAGAGCAGGTACTGAACATAACTGCCATTAGTATTCTTGTGGTACTTGTTTTCCCTACTAAGTATTCTTTTTTCTTAATCCACCTGCTGTCAAACACTTTTTTAACTCGCACAATTCAAAGAAAAGCGACGCTACTGCGTTGTGGTAATCGCTAGTCAGCCGTCAGTGTAGGACAGTTCAAACTTCAAAGTGCCGGAGCTGCATACGAGTCGCGACTATCATGCTCCGATGCTCGTATGTACAGTACTTGGACTTCGCACGAGAACACAACCCGAAGAAGTTCCGGAAGGCAGCGGCGCGAACATCGGCGCAGGTGCCCGTATCCACCTGCGACTGCAGATACGCAAGAACTGGCCGGATTCGGTGGGCAGGCTGAAGCAGTTGGTGTCGTGAAGGGAGATGATTTTGTACGGGTGGATCTATTAAATTTTCATAAATCATATTTATAGCTACTTCTATGCAAACCTTCCTCCAAAACACGCCAGGCCGTGTTACTCCATAAACTGTAGTTTTGTTTTGATTATGATGTTAGGTCATTTCTACATAGTTGCACGACTCAAACTTGCACCCACCTTTTGGCACTTTTCTGAGTTTTCACGCCAATGCGACGCCATGCATGCGACTGATGCGAGAAAGCCGTAAATCCAGGAAGACAAATTACTGTAGCTGTACAGTCTGTACGGAAACCAATTACACATGTAGAAATAACGAAGTACCAAAATTAATAGGAAATTGCGCATTTAAAGCAGTATTAAGGAATAACTGTACTGTCTGTACACGTTATTATTAAAAGCTTTTCGTATGCTGCCACGGTGCCACCTACCATTTCTGAGGGTGAGTTCAGCCGCACGCCGGGACCTGATTTAACATCGTTCGTGAACTGAGAAGAGCCATTGTAATAGTACGAGTATTGTACAAGTGAAGCGTTCAATGTCCACTTTTGCACGGATGCTCGAAATACGATATTTAGAGTACAGTACCAAATTCAAACGCAGAAAACAAGTCCTTTCACTGTAGAAACAATGCCACGTACAGCTATGCAAATAGAAGTACTTAGGTACGGACAGACAGCTAAACTAACAACTCGGAACCATCCTTGCGTACAATGGGTAATCATCCATCAGATCTTTTTGCGTATACAACGGCTAAGAAAGCGTTTTCTGTACAGACTGTAATACATGTCAGGCTCATTCAGGAATCGTCCACGTCCATGCTGACCACTCGGGCCGCTGCGGTTCGGAGCTTCTTCAGGTTATGCTCGTGCGCAAAGTTCAAATAAGACAATGCCTGGTCCACCGGCGCCTCACTAACCGCCTCCAGCATCACACACAGACATTCAGCGCGCAGATCCGCCATGTCGTATTTGTCAGCCGCCATCCACAGCTTCATCAAACTGGAATGTTTTTCCAGATCCGCTCGTGTATACACATACCGGATCATGGCTTTCAGGTCTTCAGCGCTCATGTCATTAATGTTGCAGATTCCCGTGGATTTCTCCGTCATGTCGTTCTGGAACATGGCGGCAAAGACGGGTGACTGGCTAGCCAGAACGGCGCGATGAACGGAGAACTGATGTCCCTCGCAAATCAAAGTACAGTCCGAGAGCAGTTGGGAATCCAGAAGATGTTTCAAATCGGCACGATTAACCGCAGCATTTAGAGATTCCGTGTCAATGTGGAATGTCAAATCCACATTCACGAAAGCCGTCTGTTTTAGAGCGCACTGTTTTTTTCCGCAAGGCAGAGATGTCATTGTTACAAGTCCACTAAGATCTTCTGGCTCCGCAGCAGTTGTGGTCCAGCCATCTCCATCGATTTGCACAACAGTGTCACACGATCCTACCCAATTCCGGCTGTTAACACAAAACCCTATTATGGGTGCTTGATGGCAATAACCTTTTTCTCTTTGCAAATGTGAAAATTCTACATACTCGTACCGAACTCGGCACTCCACAAGCAGCGAACCAGACGACGTTGTCTCTTCGGATGGTCCTTTTGGTTCCACCTTGGCCACGATGCTGGCATCATTGACTCCAATCGTGATTGTTACGGTCCAAGTAGACGACGGGATCTGCGGATATTTAGGTCCTGCCTCCACGTTGAAATCACAACTGTAACGCAAGTGGTTGGCATAGGGATCTTCCAGAGCGAACTGCTCTGCAGGGATTGCGTACAACAGATTCAACGCCGGACTGTTATTTGTTGGACAACCCAAAAAAGCCATACTGTACTTGCACTTGCGCAGCAGAAATAACAATGGCTTCAACAAATATAAAAATAAAATTTCAACATATAATTTGTAGGATTTGAGAATCGATTATCTTACGATTAGTTTTCGTACGTAATAATCTGCGACAACGCATCAAGGATATTAACTGTCTTAGTCTGTCTTTACTATCAGAAGTTCAGAACCACCAAGACAGATCTCAAAACAGCCAACCCCCACTGGGGGGGACTTGTGATGGCGAAAGCGCTAGAGTAGCGCAGATTGCCGCAGAAAAATAATTATAGCCGGCGCTCAATTTTTAAAACTTTCCAGAGCTTAATATTGTGTATCTTTGGTTGTTTTTACTCCTTTGTTGTACATAGTTGAGATTTTATTTCTAATCAAATGATTATGCAATGGGGAAGAAGTAATATGATTATTACTGTGGGTCTATGACCAGTTCCAAAAGTGGCTGTTACTGTTAGCAAGACATTCAGCACGCAGATCCGCAATGTCATACATACAGTACTTGTCAGCCGCCATCCACAGCTCCATTAAACTGGCGTTTCTTGTCAAATAGGCTCCGATATGTGTACACATATCGGATCATGACCTTCAGAGCATCGACACCGATGTCGCTAATGTGGCAGATTCCCGTGGATTTCTCTTTCATGCTGTTTTCTCTTTCATGTTGTTCTGGAACATGGCCGCAAAGACGGGCGGCTGGCTAGCCAGAATGGCTCAATACAATGAAAATACTTGTCCCTCGCAAATCAAAAGTGCCACCCGGTAGCAAATGGGAATCCAAAAGAAGTTTCAAACCGGCACGATGTTAGGTAATGAGGTGAACTGTGAAAGGAAATTGATAACAGCTAATCCGATACGGCTGATGGTGAGTACAGTCTACAGATACATCTTCAGTGCCAAAACTGACAATAAAATGCCAATCAGGTTTCAAACATTTTACGCGTCACATTTGTGTTTGAGCCGGTGCCAGGAAAGCTTTACGCTCATGCCGGACCGGCGCCTGCTGTACCTGGAGCTGTTAATTAGTCAGTTACTTCGGCTTTCCTTTTCATTTTTACCGTATTAAGTATACAGTGTACGGTACGTCGTAATCCATCAAATACCGTGTTATTCAATCCTTGTTTACCGTAATTCATCAAATAGTGACTCTTCCCGATTTAGAAGCCCGCCCAGCGCCCTGATATACCCAGTACTGGAAAACCGGCCCAACTGAAGGGTCGGTTTTCCAGTACTTCCCCCTACGAAAAAAGATCTTTTCCTGAAATAAAGACCTTATCCAAAGTACTTCGGAAAAATGAGTGACCACGGGTCAATAATTGGTCGAATACGGTATTCCTTTAAAAGGCTAATGGAGTGTCACAAGCTATGCAACACTCTCACTCTGTCCGAGGGGAAGATTGGCTACTTCCAAGTCGGAGGGAGCTGCCAGTGCCGCTCTACTAGGGGGGAAGAATGGCTACTTCCTAGCCTAGGAAGCTGATGACCAGCAAAACTACTTGCTGCTACTAAACGAAACGAGAGAGCCGCACTTTCCAGATCAAATTTAATAACAAAAGCAAAAGATCAGAAAATGCAACTGACTCTATAACAGAGAATGCCCGGCTTTTATAGGCCGTGAATAACAGCGAGTGATTACGTAACAGCTCCGGCGGCTACGCCGGCCAATAGGAAGACATGTAGGGGATAAACGTACTACATAATAACTCCCGTAAGGAGAGGGCACGACACGTCCCCGCGCTGCGGGGAGGCTGGACCCACAGCCGTTAAACAAAAGAAGTCTGCTAGCATAGCAGTGTTATGAACAAAAGGTTAATTATACATAAGCAAATGAACAAAAACACAACAAACTACTGGTTACCCAGAACTGTACGATCCCAAAAAGTCCGGTGCAAACTCCGGTAATGGTTAGTGGGAATCTTCGGCATCCATAGCTTCGTCAGCTCGTTCGTCTCCCGGTTGGAGGTCCAGTTCGGCCGCTAGCTTTTCCGCTTCTTCAGGCGTAAGTCCTTCCCACATCGCCCAATACTTGATCTCCTTGCTGGAGTACTGCGGATCGCAGACAGGACAATCGGCGCATGCATCCATCATCCGGAAGTGATCCGGGTTGTACGCCGTCCAGGCATCCACCATCGTGGCCCAGGTGTCCCATTCATCCACATCGTTGTTGCCCAAGGGGATCTGCTCCCATTCCAGGCGATGAAGCATCGGCTCGACGAGTCCTGGGGCAGGAAACTTCAGCGCCAACTGTACCAGCGGACTGCTGATGGCCTTCCGAGCGACGTGCATGGCGCGAACGCAAAAGCCGTCGTATGCCGTCCGGCGTTTGTTGTCATCCGCGTCAATCAGCGCTGCGTGAGCAGTTATCCAGTTCTTGGCCGGTTTTAATTCCGGATCCCGCAGCACCAACGGCGCGACGCAGCTCTTCGTCGGGGACGATGCCGATGTCGGCCAGAAACACCTCATCAAAGTCTGCGTGAATGCAGGGGATGATCTGGAATTGTCCAGTATTTCGGTAAGCCTGGTTCATTTGAAAACGACAGGCGGCACAAGGGTACACTTGAGGATCCATGTTGATGGAGACAGTGTAAACTGTGCGGGAAAACGGTTTGCGCTTTGCACACGTCACTTTAAAATTATAAAGTTAGATGCGAATGCCAGAGTGGAAAAATCAGACTGACAGTCTGGCCGTTGTCTTTGTTCAGGCTGTTCTGCGTTAAGCAGGCTGCCGTCTTGGCAGTCGTACAGCATACAGCATCAGTGCAAGTTCTGCAGAATGCCGGTCAAGCCGGTGCACTTGTACTACCTTAGGTAGTATTACGTAATGCGCATAATCTGCATAATTGCAGCAGTATCTTTAAAGTTACGCCTGTACGTATACAGTACGACGGTGTAGAGAAAGTCATCGCTTTTATTGGTGCCCAGCTCGCTTTATGCGAGGTTTTTGCACACTCAACGAAACGTTCTTTGTTCTGGCCTTGCGGACAGGATTGCGTCGTACCGGAGTTTTTTCCGGAATGTTCTCCCAACTGTTATCAGCTGTCTCCTCATTTGGAGTTGAGGAAAAAGATGCATTTGTTTCGTCACTAACGGACGCTAGACGCTGTATATACAGCTGTATCCGGTCAACATTATATTTGTCAACTAGGCTGCGCCTAGGACCGGAAAATAGCCGTTTTAACTCATACACATTGTCATTTATTTTACGAATAACTTCGTACGGTAACTTCGTACGGATATGCATATTTTTCGGAAAGTTTGGTATTTTTACCAACTTTTTGCGTAAGCTGCCGCACTCGTACAAGATCGCCCGGGCTTTAAGTAACCGCCTTTCGGTGGGCGTCTAGCCGGTTAGCATCTCTGCTTTGCTGCAGTTCGATGCGCAATTTAGCGATTTCATATCCGGCTGATAGCCGTGCTAACAATCCTTGCACATATTCAGGATAACTGTTGTGAAACAGGCTTTCGCGCACTTTAAATAGAGTATCGAACGGAAGTTCGGATGTCTGCCAAAAATTAAATAAAACGGAGAAAATCCGTGGGTTGTTTGTGCTGCAGCGTTATGTGCAAACACAACAGACGACACATATAAGTCCCAGACTTTCTGCGTTGGTGCAGTAAACATAGCGATGCCCTCAGCAAGTGGGGCCATTTGACGCTTACACAGTGAGTTTCCTTGAGGGTGATACGAAGCAGTCATTACCTGCTTAATACCGCAGATTTCCGTGATCTTGAGAATAAGTTCATTTCGGAAATGGGTACCTCTGTCGTGCAACAGCTTAATGGGTGTTCCAAAAGTGAACAAAACCTTCTCCACAAAAAATTCTGCAACTAATGCAGCGGTATCGTTGACGATAGGTGAAGCGATTACAAATCGACTTAAATGGTCAATAAGTACTACTATGTACTTATTACCTCGTTCAGTAACTGGGAACGGCCCCAGAATATCTATTGCTACCGTATGAAACGGAGGGGGCACCGGCATGAACTGCATCGTGCCGGCGGTTTTGGAGTGTGGCACTTTACGTGCTTGGCACTGGTCACACGACTGGACGTAGCGCTTTACGTAAGCGTGCATGCCGGGCCACCAAAACCGAGTTACCACTAAATCCCACGTTTTGCGGAAGCCCATATGAGCGGTCACGGGTAAGTCATGACAAGCCTTTAAAATGTCTTCTCGCATCTGGCGAGGAACAACAAAGCACAGGTGTTTTTCGGTCAAATATCTTCTGTATCTATACAGTACGCTGTTTTTCAAACAGTATTCAGCGTTATACCACTTGTTGTTCGGGGAGGCTTCATCTTTCATATCTCGTATAATACGAGTAAGACTATCGTCTTTCTCCTGTTCTAATCGGAGATATTCAGTATCAGCTACGTCTATTTCGTCTTGTTCGACGGATGTAGCTGCCATTACTGATACCCGAGCACAGCTAAGTGCGAATGATTGCAGACTGTCAGACTCCTGCGGTAAATCGATTTCTTCGTTTTCAAACGATTGGTCAACCGGAAATCTGCTTAAGCAGTCTACATTGCCATGAAGGCATGCTTTACGATACTCGATTTTCATATCGAGGGCACTCAGCATAAGTGACCACCGGACGCACCGGGCGTTTGTACCACGCGCCTTCAAAAGGCTGGTCAAAGCTTGGTGATCTGTCCGAACCACGAAACTGGTGAATTCGACATAATGCCGGAATTTTGATACGGCAAATACAACCGCTAAGCATTCAAGCTCAGTTATCGGGTATTTTTTCTCTTCCTTAGAGAGTGTCCGGCTTGCATATGCGACTATATGTCCCTCTTGTGAGAGTATAGCGCCACTGCCGTAGCCGCACGCATCACATTCAATTACCGTCGCTTTTTCCGGATCAAACCGGGCCAGCAGCGGCGCCGTTGTTAACGCCGTTTTCAAACGGTGGAAGCTACGCTCCTGTTGTTCAGACCATGCTGATTTAACATCAGTGTCTTTCTTGGTGAGCGAATACAATGGCTCAGCTATATGTGCAAAACCGGCAATGAACTTCCGGTAATAACTTGCTAGGCCGAGAAACGACTTAACGTCCGTAGCTGTTTTGGGAACAGGAAAATCCTGGAGTGCTCTAATCTTTTCTGGGTCTGTCCAAATACCATTTCGGTCAATTATATGACCCAGAAATTTCATTTCGCGGTAAGCGAAAGTACACTTAGCCGGTTGAATAGTTAGGCCCGCCTCGCGGAAAGTAGCTAACACCCGATGAAGGCGGTTACAATGCTCATCAAACGTGAGTGCAAAAACGATGATATCGTCGATGTACACTAAGCACATCGTCCACTTGAGTGCACCAAGAATGGTATCCATTGTTAACTGGAATGTCGCCGGGGCGTTACACAGCCCAAACGGCATTCTTAAGAATTCGTACAACCCGTCTTGGGTGACGAATGCCGTTTTGGGCTGATCCGCCTCGGAGACCGGGATTTGCCAAAATCCCGAATAACAGTCAAGACCAGTGTACCATTCGCTGTTACCGACTGCTTCTAGCAGGTCCTCTGGTAACGGAAGTGGATACACGTTCTTTCTCGTTAGAGAATTTAGCATTTTAAAATCAATGCAAAATCGAACACCCCGGTTACCCGGTTTATGTACAATCACCACAGGGGAACTCCAAGGGGAGTTTGACTTTTTAATTATGCCCTTGTCGAGCATTTTCTGCACCTCATCCTAAATGAGTTTTCGCCCCTGCCAGGAAGTACGACGCGGAGTCGATTTAAACGGTTTCGAGTCTCCGGTATCGATGGAGTGCGCACTAAAGTTAGTAAAGCCGTACGGCCGGTCTTTCGTAGGAAAGATATCGCGATTATCGCGTAGTATAGCCAATATACGGTTGCGCTGCTCATCGCTGAGTTCCGGATTTATATTAACAGTTTTAAGGATATCTTCTAATTCAGCGTTCTCCTTATCGGAGTAATGTCGTACACCGGTTTCGTACACTTGAACTGGATCTGGTAGTTCTTCGTACGGCTCGGCTGTGCCAAGATTTGACCCTTTACGAATAATCTTCGGATATTTCGAAGGATTCATTACAAATAAACTGGTGCGGTTATCAGACACCGTTACTACCGAATTCGGTATTATCGTCTTGCTTCGCTGCAGCGTGTGCCGGTTAGGAAATACTACCATTCTTGCCTTCTTAATTTTAGTACGAGGCTTACACTGTATTACTACAGCACTCATCGGTGGTACTCGTACAGTTTCGGTACTGTATATATTGACTCGATCCCGAGAAGTTCCAGTTTCCACATACTCTTGACAATCAAGATCAAACTCAGTTTTGAGTAAATTGATTTCAGCTTCCGCTGGTTCAGCTACTGCAAAGGTAACACGCTTTTTATTAAACGTGCCGTCTCTAGACTGCAGATTAGTGTAACTGTTAGGAATAACAGTAGCGTCGGTACACATAATAACCGGTAATGTACGCAATGCAGCTACTAATATGTCTGCATCTGCTGTATCCGGTAATTGATGCAAGTACACTGCGGCATATGCGCCGTTGCTCACTGGTGGTATCACCGTTACTCCGGAGTTATGGAGATGCTGTACAGATTGTACCTGCTGTACAAATGCCGCTGATGCGGTATCTGTCCACTTAAGTGGTGTTTTCCAGTAAATGTCAAAACTAAAAATGTTACTGTCTAGCTCGTTCTGTAGTATTACAGATTTTAGAACATCCAAGCAAGTGGGGTTATAACCGGTAATTAACGGGATATAAAGTCCCAACCGAGTATTAACTCGTTCTGCATTTCGGTTACGAATACGTCGTGGGACAAATCCACGAGACGTACAGATATACTCGTATACATCGAGAGAGACTTGCAGTTACCAGTAATACCGCGCATTAGTACTCTGTTAGAGTTTACTGGTAAAGTACAGTATACGTAGTTAACACTGTGCTCATCACAGAACTCTCGTGAAATGAGAGATGTATCAGCTGCCGTATCAAGCAAAGCGGAGACCGAAATACTGTTTATAAGAACGGGCACTCTAACGCTTTTAACAATCTTGGGTGCTTTCTCACTAAGTGAGTTTCCGTCATCTACTACGGTACCTTTCTGTGCTTGAACGGTAGTGTCTCCGCTTCGAATATTCACATCCGGTAGGGAAATATCTGGTGGTTTTGGAGGGATTTCTGATGCCGCGGCCGTATGTCCTCCATTTACGGGCGGCCGGTGTTATTTGAACCACTGGCGCTGGACGAACGAGATCCGCCAGCACTATCACGGTCTGATGATCGTCTGGGACGGCGTTGTGCCTGAAAGTCTTTAACTTCCTGCGGAAGAGTTGCTGGATCCGCTCGATAGTACTGACAGTCAGGACTGTAATGACCTTGCTTGCCGCAAGTAAAGCAGGTTACATTATGCGGTACAGCCGCCCTGGGCGGAGATTTGCTCGCTTCGCTCGACCGCTTATTAGCTTCGCTCGCATGCTGAGAAATTTCAGATGTTTCGCAATCATCCTGTCTCCTCTCGGTAAACGAATTACGTCTGCCGCCAGACTGGCGGGAGCCAGGGTTGAATACAGGCACTGCAACACTGATCCCGTGTTGGGCATCGCTGTTGCGCATTGCCAGGATACGCTGACAATTGCGTGCCTGGATCAGAAAACTTGCCGGCGTTTGCGGCTGGCTTACACCAACACGATCAAACAGGTCCGGGACGCGGCGCAAGCCGTTTATCAGGAAATGTACCTGCATCGCCGGTGCCAATGCTGACCCACTGTCAGTAATCAAGTCCATTACAGACTGATAATAGTCTTCAATAGACTCCTTTTTAGGATCGTAATATCGCGAAGTTAATGTCTGTGCTGCCACAGTTTCGCGATCGTGCTCATAGAACTTTTCCATGAGCTTCAGTTTCCACTGTACCCATGACAGTTTGTCGGATACTGACGGCGCACATGGTCATAGAAGTCAGCCGCCCTGCTTTTCAGAGCTGACACTAGGCCTGCCACCATCAGGGCGTCAGTCCATTGGTAAATGGAAGCTACTTCTTCGTAGCGAGTGATGAAATTTTCCACTCGCTCATTCTTGTCACCCTTAAATTCAGGGATTTTAGTTATACATTTAGGCTGCGTTTGCAGTATTCCGTATGGATTATCAACCATTTGGTTGGGTACGAGTCCTGCAGTTGCTGCAGCCCGAACATGGACACCGTTCGGTTGACGTCGTCCATCCTCCCTCGGTCGTCGACTACAGTCGCGATCTTCGTCAACATCCACCTCTGTGTCAGAGTCATCACGGCAGCTTCCGCGTGGAAGGAATGCCGAATTGTTACCGCGACCGGAGTGATCCGGTTGACTGACTGATGCACAGTACTGCATACTACGAGTATGAGTACCCGAATGATCGGTTCGACCGAGTAATGCGCCCGTGCGCTGGAACATCCGCTCGTGGGCGGTTGCCTGAGACTGCATCGCGTTGCTATTCCGATCCATACGGGCAACGTGTGGCAGTTCAAACGGGTGTTTGCCATACTGCGACGAGCAGTCATATACGTCATCATACTGCTTAGAGCGCAGATTCGATTCTGGCTTGAACTGCCTGCTATTGTCCGCATTAATGCGAAAAGAAACAGCGGGATTACGTGATTGGCTCTTCTGCTGTGCTGCAGTAAAATTCGAACCAATATTACCACGTAACACATTGTCTCGATCATACGAGTATACTACCGTTTCTCGCGCATCTACGTCATCACTGCTTGCTGAGCAGAAGGGATTGCGAGCCGTGCGCAGATCTGCCGGCGAGCGGGTTCGATTTTGCTCTGGTTCCCCCTGGAAACCTCCACGATCTTCCCGGTGTCGGTCGCGATTTTCTGACAACGGTGAGTCTCGCCGGGTGGCAAGTACATCGAGCGCATCGATAATTCTGTCCAGTTTCCGGTTAGTCTCCACATTGCTGCTAATGAAATGATCTAACCGGTCGCTAGTTTTCCAGTTGGCCTGGTTAAGGAGATCCAGCTTTTCAGCGGTTTTACATTCAGTCCTGTTACTATCACGTCTCTGCTTTTGCAGTTCATCGACCAATCTTAATATAGGATCGTTCCTTGATTGATCATCCTGGCTATCGCCAGAAGCTGGTACCACATTATCGACGTTATTATCGCTACCGTTCGACATGGCGTCGGCGAGAGTATCAGAATCGTATTCTGATATTAAATTAAGAACTTCCGAAGGAAGTGAATTTAAGGATTCCGAGCAGTCGGAAGAACGTTCAGGTTGACTTACCACCTCGGGTGGGTGAAAATATTCAGGTGGCAATGGATACACAGCACGGTTGTTCCTCCGTCTGGCAACTTCGGCTTTCTGACGGTTAGTTAGCGGCTGCTGATGTTCCACAGGGTCGCTTGGCTGGTGCATCCAGATAGGCTTGGATGGTAATCAGGGTACTCACACGACGGCAGAATGTCGCTGGATGTCCGATGAACACTGCCGTTGTACCGGTAAAACAATAGGTGGAAGTTCTTTTAAGGAGCGCCACTTGTCACAAGCTATGCAACACTCTCACTCTGTCCGAGGGGAAGATTGGCTACTTCCAAGTCGGAGGGAGCTGCCAGTGCCGCTCTACTAGGGGGGAAGAATGGCTACTTCCTAGCCTAGGAAGCTGATGACCAGCAAAACTACTTGCTGCTACTAAACGAAACGAGAGAGCCGCACTTTCCAGATCAAATTTAATAACAAAAGCAAAAGATCAGAAAATGCAACTGACTCTATAACAGAGAATGCCCGGCTTTTATAGGCCGTGAATAACAGCGAGTGATTACGTAACAGCTCCGGCGGCTACGCCGGCCAATAGGAAGACATGTAGGGGATAAACGTACTACATAATAACTCCCGTAAGGAGAGGGCACGACAGGAGGGACACAAGTGTACATGTACCTGACCAACCTTAAGATTTACAGTACCGGTACTATTCAGGACTCTATTAATTTTATACTGTAGTAACTGTACTATTAGTTCTGCAACGCGGTTTCGTGGTGCGAGAAGCCGGTGGTACTGAACTTAACTGTGTAGTACCGTGCCACTAATACAGAGTCTGTACACACGGGGAACCCCAGTCGGCACTGGCACTCTTATCAATTTACGGTTTTTCCGTGCAGAACCAAACTCTATTTTTCCAGAAACAGATGCGTAACAATAAACGATGCACATCATCACACCTAACAATTTGTCTGCAAATGCGCCATCGGGAACTGCAATCTTCAGCTGCGCAAACATTCTTCACAACAGCATTTGAACAAGCTTCAATTTTATGTCGGCAGCTTCACTGTCAGCGAGTACAGTATCGGAACGTCATCGTATCGAAAGCGCAGTAGCACTACAACTCCCCACGTGAAGGGTATAAATACAGAATAATTTAGCTTTTACACAGAGAAGTATAAACATCACAGCTTAAGAAGCAGGAAGCGGAAGCACGGGCCCCGGTGCGGCGTTAACGGAGGTCTGGCGTTCGCGGATGGCACGACGGGCCTGTAAGCGGACACAGCGCGGACAGGGCCGTTGGCGCATACACTTGGCATGGAAGCAATCGCCGCAGCTGCCGCACTGGTACACCGTCGTCAGCTGGAAGGGGAAGATGGGCCGCTCATCCCGGCAGAATTCACAGATGAAGCCCCGTGCGCCACACTCCTGAGAACAGTGGATAATCACTCATAAGTCACAACCAACAATCGCAACAATGTAAACAACAACTGAGAAAACGCATTTGTCTTTATAATATAAACAAAATAAGGACCAAAATTAGCAGAATCTATGAAGCAAAAATAAAGCCATACAAAACGTAGAAGCGTTAGAAAACCGTCGGTAATTCTCGCTAATTCTTGCCAAAAATTATCGCCATTGCACGAAGCATTAGTAATGATATCTAAGAAAGAATTATCGACTTATCATCAGCTTTTGAAGTGGTTAATCCTGGTTTAATTCAGTATTGCATACTTCTATTGAAATAACCCTTCCTTGTTGCTATACTCAGCTATAGATGCTTATGGTTGTAACTGTAGGTATTCTTAAAATTTCATTCAATGGGGAAGCTTGAAAAAAACTACATTAAATACAATTTTGCCAACTTTGTTAACTTTCAAAAGGCGCTAGCGAATCGTACTGCGCTAATCCCAAAGTGCCACTGTTCTACGTTAACTTGTTGGACATAGGGCTGTTCAGTACCGACGCGTGTAAACGAAGACCAATAATTATGTTTGGAGATATTACACAAAAAACACAGTTTTGTTGCCGGAAACGTACAGCACACGACGTGACATGCGCGATGGCCAGTTCCGTGATGGGGCGGAGAAATGTGGGCAGAATGGAGTCGCGCACACTACCCAGCATCTCCAAGGAATAACTGTGCACCTGCTCGGATAAGACGCGTGGCAGCTGCTCGATTTCCGCCTTTATACTGCAAACAGTGTAAATTTTCAATTTTTACTAAAGAAAGTATACGAAAAATCATTAGCGGAATTAATAAATTTAATTATTCGATGATTTTTTAATTTATCTATTTAGTCAAAGTAATTTACCAATTTATAAACGCATTTTCGATCGCGGCGAACCAACCTTTGAGAATTATGGCACGTCCGCACATAATGATTCGCCAGGACTAGCTGCACCCGCAGTTCTCGCGTGATCATCAGTGCCTTGCTTTTTTTGTACAATCCGGCATTGCAGTCGTTGACATCGAACAACGGATCCCGATAGATCCGTGAGATGAAATCCGCCGCAAAGTTACTCACGTAGTATTTGGTGAAATCCCATTTCTGCAGGATACGCGCCGGGATCATGCTGGTTTTGTATTCATGACAGCAGACGCAGAAATATTTCCCCGTATACTCGCAGTACCTAGAGATCAACAATAATTTCACAAATATGTAATGCTGAAAAAAAGGAACGTAAAATGGTTTGTCTAAAGTTTACCACTACCGAATGTTCACAATTATCTTGGGCGTAACGATTAGTAAACCAATACCCGTGACAGGCAGTATCCATCACTCTCCGAATATTCGCATCCATATCACATGACCTCTCATACAATGTAAATCCAAGTACGTAGCAGGCTTCAGTTAAAATACTGAACAACGAAAATCAACAGCAAAGTTTACTGTTACAAATGGAAGAGAATATGTATTTTCCACAAATTTAGTAATATACTCAACAAATAACAACAAGAAAACAAGCGCAATACCGTGGCTTTCCGTGCCGCTTTTTTAAAAAATCCCCGACACATACAAATACAAGTACCGAGCCAATTAATTGTTTTCTAAATCGATTGTTTTCTAAATCGGATTCATTGTATAAAGCCGCTACGACGGGTAGTTCCCCTGAGCCATCGTTCTACGAAATTCTCACATAGGTACATCAATAATTATAATACACAAGTACAAACTGCGATTAGGCATTTATAAGTCTTGTCGTCATTTATTTTCTGGCTGATTACCACAATCTTTCATGCTCCTTACTGCGCTCTTTACTAACAATAAGTTCAAGATTAACCTTCAAGTGTTTACGATAGGTGTTAAAGACAGCGATGGATACTGCAATTTAAGGACCTTTAATAAGTATCACGTTAAAGTACAAACTAAGTACCAGAAAACATAAGTTTGATGATGCATACGAGACAGCGGCAACTACTGCTCCTCTACTATTGCAATTTTATCAGTTTTATCTTCCGCATTCGGGGGAAAACATCCCGTTCCGAGAGACGTTAAATCATTGCGCCGAGATCGCAGTTTACAGGTCCAAGTGGCATTAATGCGGAAAAATGGACCGCAGACAAATTATTATAAATTCTAACCTTCTAATAATCTCAACCAAGCGAGTGTTTCTAATTGGAAAAATTAATTTAAATCTGTTTGACAACTTTTCGTTCGATTTTTTAAAGTAATTTTACAACAGTTTTATGCCGAGTTCGAAACATCATTAGCCATTGTTCTACGAAGGTTCGCGGAATTTAATGGCTACGTATCAAGGATCCTTGTCGCGTACCAGTGCTAAAGAAACCCCAACACCTACCGCATCCGCTGCTGCTGCCCGGCATCCATCCGCCCGCCACACCCGGCACACCGACCCTTCTGGTTGAGGAGGGCCGTCTTGAGATTGACATGCGATTGAATATGGTAGATAATCTGCGGCCGCAGCGGCGCCCATTCCAGATTCCCGCGGATGCGGCTGCAGTGCGCTTCCGCCGGCACCACGCACACTCCGCGCGGCAACGGCAGCAAGCTACTGCTGTCCTCCGGGACGTCCTCCTCGGCCACCAACCACTCCAGCTCGGCGGCGGAGGGGATCTGGCTCTCGCGGAAGCGCTTCAGCAGCGAGATGGCGATGGCCTCGGCGCTGTGGGTGTTCTGGAGGGGGGCGGGCCCGGCGGCGCTGACGGTGTTCTTGCGTAAAATGGACTGGCTCAGCGATGGACTGCTGGGCTGATCGGACACGCTGGCGTCGTCCGACGACAAGGAGATCTGCATAATTCAGAATGGCGAATAACGAAAACGGCATGTGATACTTCCACTCGTTACAGCTTAGCGAAATAAATTCTCCTTCTGATTTTGATTAAATAATAATTTATAACTAACGGCAGCACAAATAGGCACAAAATAATTTCGAAAAGATTGGCGCTATTAATTAGACACCTAAAAAGTAATCTAAATTTTGCGACAAGACGCTGGTTTCGCCCGAAGAAAAGGAGCTATGAATATTTCAAAATGGCAAAGATCGAAAGCAACACGCGATACCTTTACTGGCTGCCGCTTAGCCAAATGATTTTTTCGTCTAATTTTGTCAGGACAAAAAAAGTAATTTAGGATTCGCAACTATTTGTGGATAACTTTCGTAATCTGTAAAGCCGTAACCGTGAGGTCCCAAATGATTATGCCACCGTTCTACGAATGTTCGCAAAGCTAGAGAACACTAGAGTGCGTGCTAGCCTTAACACTTTTCCGGTCAAATAAACAACAATCCAATTATCCAATATCAGAATAAAATATGCCACTATTAGTGCTGTGCTAGAAACATAAGCATAAACGTTCTGAAAAAAACGAAAAACCGATAAGGAACAAATTCGCAATATCGTAAAAAATCTAAAAATTTGAAAACGATGGTAAACAGCCATAAATCCAAATTCAGCATTAATTCTGCATACACGACCGACTTGACAGCATTGCTAAATTGCTACACTGTTCAATTATTAATAAATTAATATTTAACCGAGGGAAAGTACAATTACAATGCACAAATTTCCACTTCACGCACCTCTTCCCGGTCACTACTGCCCACGGGACTCCCGCCACTCCCATTCCCGGTGATCACCACCCCCGACGACGACCCGCCACTCCCATCACTCCCGCCGTGGCGACGCTGATAGTGCATCTGTTCCAGGGCGCAGATGACGGCCTCCGAGATGAGAAAGTGGGCGTTCTCCCGCTCCAGATCCGCGCAGGTCTCCGTGTCCACCTGCGACTGCAGATAGCCGAGCAGGGACTGCCCGGGCTCCGTGGGCGGGCTGAAGGAGTAGGTGCCGTCCAGGGTGCCGGTGCGCGGGAGATGGTGGGAGCGCATGCGGTGCAGGGTGGGATGGGGGGAGGCGGTGGAGGAGGAGGGGCGCGAAGGGAGGGAGGCCGAGGGGAGACCATCGGAGCGGGAACGGGTGTGCTGTTTGAGACGGGTGACGGGGCGCGGGGGCACCGTGAGGCGCGAGGGGGAGGGTTCCGGGGTGGAACCTCTGCGGAAGAGGAATACAATGATTTCAAAACCACCATAATTTCGGAATGATACATGTACGTGCTTGCAATGTTTAATTAAAAGTTTTTTTGAGTGTAGGTTATATATTATTCACTGATCACATTCCATGCGTGAAGCCTAGCAAAACTTGGCATATTTGGACAACGAGTACAGTATTATCGATCTCGAAAGACAGACCAGTGCACTACTAAAAATTTTGTAGTAATCAAAGTCATCAAAATAAAACGCATGACATTTAGTGTCTTCCACTTCTTTCTCAGTTTTCGAATTAGGGTTAATTTTTCTAAAGGACAAGATTGTAGTATAGTGGCAATAAAGTAAGTTTATTCCTGCTTAGTAGCTACGTTGGCTGTTATCAGATTTCTCGTGGTATGTGAAAACTCTTTCAAAAGCCCATACTTTTGTTGCATCAAGTTTTTTGAACCAGTGAAGTTTATTACGCCTTAAATTTTCAGAAATTATTTTTCAAGCAAATACGATTAAATAATTCCCAGCACGAGTAAAATTAACGATGATTTCCATTTAATTCCATTTAGTACTAACCGTGGAGCAAGACGGGATGGCGGCGTCAGCACCGGCGTCCTGGACGCCTTTGGCACGCCGTCTCCCGGAACCGGAGATGGCGCTGCCGTCGTGGTTATCGAAACCGACAACGCCGACGTCATGGGAGTATCACGTTTCTCGCGACTGTCCGCTGCTGCGTCGTCCTTCGCATAAAACGGCTCGAAGGCGTTCACTGCGGCTTTAATGCGTTGTCGGGCGTTCGGCTGCCGCAGCAAAGCAAACGGCTGGTACAGCCGCTGCAGACACTGGTCATTTTCCAAAAAATTCTGCACGAACTGCCGGTGCCCGCTGGCGGTCGCCAGTACCGTAATCAATCTGTGGAAGAGAGCGTTGCGGCGCAGGACATCCGCAGGATGAGAAAGGGAGATTTCGGGATCATTTCCGGATGGGACCGGGAGTTTCGCAAGGGATGGGATGGAAATCGCATCCAACTCCAGCAGCAACGGTGTACACTGCGAAAAATCAAATCCTCGAATAAATTAAAAATAATTAAAAAATTACAATTAAAATTTCATTTAATCACAACTAAATCAAACCACAGAACATAAGGGAAAAAGTCGATATAAATTACTTAAATTATTACAGAAATGTTACTGAATAAATGTTGCAGGAATGCAAACGCCCACATCGTCGCCAGCTCACCGTGGGATCAGTTAAACCGTTCCGCAAAATATTGGCCAAATCGCCGCAAACCACCGCCAGCGCTTCCTGGAACAGACTGTTGTCGTTGGGATGCGCCACATCCCCACCCGCCAGGGTCTGGCCGACATCCGCTGCGGTGTTCGGCGGTGTTAGGCCGGTATCGTCGTCGGAGGGTAGCAGGAACGGGACAATTTCCAGCAGAACCCGACAGGCTTCCTCCAGTTGTCCGACCAAATCCTGCCTGCAAGATACAGCCACCATAGTACGGTATGACCGTATGAAAGTTCCAGCACAGCAAAATATCAATTCCCACAAAAAGCAAAATATTAATTCTCACAATCATATACACTACAGAGCACATCTGCAATCGTTAAGAACTTGTTGGAATCGACGTTCGAAGGCTTGGAATCCGGACGCACAACGCCACTTTACTACGACATCTTCCATTTATATAGGTTTAATACCGTATACCAGTTTGTCTAAATTGTCCTTACTTTATGGAAGTCGATTTTTATTCGAAACTGATTTTAGAACGAAAATAAGTACATATTATTTGGCGGGGCATATCCTTAAATTATGGAATTAAATTAAAATAGGGAATAGAATTAACTAGGATTTAAAAATAAGAATTAATTAATTTTAAAATTAAATTATTTAAAACAATTAAATTATTTAAAACAACCTATTAAATTATGGAATTAAAATTAAAATTGCACTAAAACATAAACAGTTTAACGGAATCCGAACCCGTAACGAAGAAATTCAAAATATGGAAATGAAAAAAGTATTTAAATTAAATTACGGAATAAGGGACCTGATAAAAGAAAGGAAAATCAAATCCTGGACATGATTCTATGATAAATCTGATTTTATCTTTTAAATATGGTAAGTTACCGTAAGTACTAAAATGATAATTCCATTCAAATTTGTTCGAGAAACTGAGAGAGGAATAATGCAAATTTTCACAACTGTGCTTACGAGTCTAGGCTGTCAAGAACACGCTGCAGATTGTCATCCTCATCATATTTCAGAGACCGATCAGGAGATTCATCCAGAACCGGAATAATATCACTATGGAGCGGCGATGAGGAGCGCTCAAAAGCCCCCATGGAAGAACTCATACTAACGCAGCGATGCAGCCGCAGCTGCTGATCAAAATCACAACAACATCAATACATCATTCATGGAACTGAAGCTTTCCAAGTACAGATATCGGAATGCATCACGTGTCGATAGGTGTGCGTACGATTTCTCGTTTCTCTTCAGCAAGGCAAGATCTGACTGCTTGAAGGCATACAACTAAACATTTTCAAGGATTGGATAAACTATTTGTCTAAAATGTAAACACTACTCAAATCAACCAAAACACATTAGAAATTCAATGACTCAAGTGAAAAGAGTCAAATCAGAACAAATCCTTTAATCCGGTTTAAAAATTCAAAACAGGAAATTTCTTCAACCGTGGCCGTGAAAAATGCTAACTTGCCACTTGGACAGGCAGCCACCCATGTGAATGCTATCGCGATAGCGGTTGGCACGATGACTCCCATTCAACACACAGCGGCTGTTGTTGTTGTGCTTTTGTCGCATTATCTGACTGTTCCGCTTTATCAGATAAATTCCCATTTTTGCATTCTGCCTTGTGAAAATTCTTGTGAATTATGTTACCTAATCGATCTATCACAATATTTACAGTTCTGTAATGTGCTGTGTGTGCGAGTGAAAATAATCGTCATTTCCCCTCATGATTTTTTATCGTCTTTATTCCGACTTATTTCATAATAATTATTTCTAGAAAAATTCCGAAAAATCATAGAGTAATTTGCAAATTCAAGACAATCAGCAGCACCTTTTTTTTAGCGTAATAACACAATTCCACAGTTACCTAATTTAGATAGAGAGATATCTGTATGCGAAAAATGTACAAGACAGTCATCGTAAAATAAAAATAAAAAAAGGAATTAATTCATCGCTTCGATAATCTTGGCGATATCCCCATGGAACTGCTCGATCAGCTCGCGGAGGATGCCCCCATCTGCCTGGATACCCATGGCCTGCAGCTGGCGGGCCACTTCGTCCATGGCTTCCGGCGTCAACGGTCCCTGTCGGGATTCGCGGCCACAGCGTCCCGCCTGTCCTTGACACGTGAATCCCCCGTCACCGCCCATTCCCTGCCACATGGGCCGCCCGAATCCCTGCATCCCCGGGAAGCGTCCACAGCCGCCGTTCCCGCGGCGACCGCGGTGGCAACCGCCGGCGGCCGGTCGATTCCATGGCATAAAGGGAAAGCCGAAACCGAACTGGAAAAATAAAAAAATTTATTTTATTGAATTCTGCTGCAGCTAAAATGTTAATCAAAGCTGATGCTGCATCCTGTTACGGATAGGCAACGACCCGAAATTCTTCGACATTTATTTTACCGAATTTATTTACATTTTATTTCGTACTTATAATTTAGACAGGAGACCAACAAATCGATTAACATTTACTTTAATGCTTTGACTTACTGTGTGCGGTGGGAATTCGGGTTCCTGGACAGCGATCATTTCGTGCTCAGCATGAAAGCCTTTTCCTTTGCAGGTTTCACACAAATCGTAGTTAAAGCATTGCGTGCACTGAAAGACACAAAACAATTTTCATCTAAATCCACTCAGCTATTTTGCAGAGAGTTCCCGAAACGTTAAATATAAATACATGAAATTCCGAAAAAATTATTAAAACAGAAACGCAACAAGTGTTCAACGCGGAACTACGAGTAGCCATTATTTTTTGAATTAGTTTGAGTTGATGCAGTTTTAAAAAAAAGTTAACTGCAATCTGAAAAGTCAAACCTGCAAACTGATTTAGCGTGACTACGGGTTACCTTGTAGCGCGTTCCGGCCACTTCCCCTTCGCAGCCATCGCATTCCACACCCACATGCACTTTGGGACCGGTGTTTTCTTTAAACGGAATGGCGTCCATTTCGTGTTCAGCGTGAAAGCTTTTCCCTTTGCATGTTTCACATAGATCGTAATTTTCGCATTTTTTGCACTAGAAAAACATTATTTACGGTAAATAATCATGGTCTATTGGAAGTTGACAGTACTTATCTGATGCATATTCACTAACGAAAAAAAAGGAACCCGACAATTATTTTCAAAATCCGAAAGTGACACTGATTTGAACCATCAACACAAGTTTATTAATTCGAAAGATACTGAGATTCAGTTGCTAATAAATCAGGCAGACTAGACCCGATACACTACGATAATCACCGCTTCAAGCGAAGTTCTACCTCGTGTACTAAATAAACCATATAATACACCATTCACATGCGGGAACATAACATTTTTAGTTGAAAAGAAAAATAAAGAAGTGCAATTGCAAAACAAGAGTAGTACTACATTTCCATACATTTATTTAGACTAATTTAATGACAATATAATTCAAAAAAAATTAAATAATTCTGGCTTGATACACACTTCGTTCATTAAATTGTAAGATCGTAATAATCACGACTATCAAAGAAAATCAAATATTATAACTAACGGTGAGCATCACGAAACGAATAAATTCTTTCAATAGTTTTTTCGATTTACAAATGGAATAAAATTATTTCAGTATACTTGTTGATCATTAGGACAAGTTTTAGCACAAACCTTATAGCGAATCCCCGCCACCGGGCCTTGACAGCCGTCACAGTAGATGCCCCGATGGACGTTGGCCGTGCCGGCGTTATCCGGAGCAGCGGCGTCCTCCTTGGCGTCACCTTCCTTCATTTCAGCATCCGTGTCGGGGATACTGGCGGTGGATGCGCTGGCCGTCGGCGTGGTTGTGCCGGTGATGCGCACGTACAGTTTCACCGCGTCGCTAGGTGTCTCCGTGGTGGCCGCCGCTTCGGTGGCGGCCTGCAGTTCCACATCGGAATCACACGCTACCGTATCACCTTCCGCGTCTGCATCGAGAATTGCATGATCACAGTGACATGGCAAAAACCGATTTTGGAGGGGGGAAATTAAAAATAAAATACTAAAATAATTAGAAAATTTCCCGAAATCAAATGGAGTCGGCTACGCAGCATCGCAGACTTTCAAACTGCCAAAAAATATTACATTTTCATAATAAACAACAACAGTGATTACTGAAATATCTGAAACTCAAAACTGCTGCATAACTCAAAATATTTTTATTTACCCACATTATTTTATTATTTAACATAATTCTCAACAATCGCTGCATTTTTTACAATTATGTGAATTAACCATCATCAACTGAATTTAAAAAGAATTTCTACTGTTAAAAAGCTATCGCAGTGTATTAATAAATCAAAAATCCTTGTCTAAATTTTTCGTTGACTCGTTTTTTTTGCTGTTTGCTATTTTTTATAAAATCTGGTTAACCGTTAAAAATCTTTTAAGCAAAATGGAACTTATTTTCGTAATAAACAAAGTAGTCAACAGAATCTATAAACTAATAATTTCCATTTTATTTTAGTCATTATTTTTATGGATCCCGAAAAATCACAAATTTCAATTGATTATTCAACTGTAAGAATAAATCCGTCACTTTTAATTTCCGGACTATGATGCGAAATTATTTCTTACCTTTCCAAAAAATTCGGAAGCTGACGTTAGGTCCAAGCACAGCACGGATCTTGCTGCGCAGCTCTTCGAACGCTCCAGCTCCTGATGGTAGCAAGTAACGGCGGATCTCGCCTTCGGATTCATAGACGACTTTCACGTGAGGCATGATGGCTGTAACTTCCGTAAACGACAGAAAACTTCCCAATTAAACAGTGAAGAATAAGAAGGATGAAGTTGATTTCGCTGATCGTTGCAAAGTGAGACTGACATTGTTCCTGAAGAAACTGCCATTTTATACGAAAAAGTTGAAACAGCTGATGGTTGTGGTTTCTGTCGATTCACAGTGACAAGGCTTCATTGACTGCAAGCGGGGCGGAGCTTAAATACGGTCAGTGCTGCTAGTGGCCGCTCTCCAGACGCAAACTCGTTTATTGGTAAATTGCTCTGCAGCAACCAATAGGGACGTTCGTCTTCAATGCGCCGGTCAGCCTCATGGCTGCGAAATGGATGAGTCAGCGTTACGAAGCATGACCCGAAATGCACCGAAGGCTTCACTGCTCACACGAAGTCTGTGCTTTCTAGAATCTTCCACATGTAACGGGGGTTCCTGTCTCATGTATTAGTATGTACGAGTATGTGCTTGGTTGTCCCGCCTCTTGTATTTCCTGTTCCTGTACGAGCGGTTCTGTATATATAGCGTTGTATTTCCTGTGGTATCTTCAGTCGTTGGGTTAGCAATATTTCGAGCAGTATCAGCCGGTTCCGTTGCCCGTTATACTTGGAGTCGCATACCGAGAACGAAATTTTTCCAAGTCGACAGTTTCAGTGCCCTTTTAACTTTTACCACCGCTACCCCTCCGCCTCCCTGTTCCAACAGCCAACAGGTAAGTCCTTACGTATCACGTCCAATTTTTTTTTCCAAAAAGAACAGCTGTAACTGATTTCAACCTAATGCTGTTTTCGAATTCCATAACGCGCCATTTTTGAAGTAATTTAATTGATAACTGCAAAGTCAACTTTACGCAGTTAACAGGCTGACTGTAATTGATAATTACTAATTACCAGCAAGTCAGTATCATGGCTTTAGACCCGCAAGCACTGCAGAATATTCTTAACACCGTTAATGTCGTTACTGCACAGCAGAACGCCGCTTTACAGCAAAGCCTTCAGGATAACGCAACCGCCCATCAGAATTTATTAAATTTTTTAAATAATCAAAATGCCGCTGCACTTACCCGTATAACATCTCTCGAATTGGGCGATTTACCGAAGTTTGGTGGTTTTTCTTACGAAGACGCTCAGGATTTTTTAACGCAGTTTGAGACGATGGCCGTTGCTAATAACTTCACACCAGCTAATAGAATCCAACATTTTGCGCTCTGTTTGCGGAACAACGCTCTTCGCTGGTATACCGCAGAACCAGCAGGTATCACATGGCCAGACCTTCGATCTCATTTTTTAATAGCTTTCGGAAAAACTCGTTTCGAACTTGATCATATGAATGAAGGTTGTCGTACATTAGCATTTACAGATCTTCGTACTTTTGTCCATCGTGTTCTTGATTACGTGGAAACCAGTAATCCCGCAGCTACCGAAGTAGAAAAAAACAGTTCGTCTCTTCGAAGCCTTGCCCCTTGAATTTAAACCGGCATTTGTGACTAACAGCCCCAGAACCGTAGCCGATTTTTTCAATCGTTTACGTGATGTGTCCGATAAGCAAAAATACAAGCTCGCAATGCAGAATCAAAATTCTTCATATCAGGCGTTCAATAATGTTGCAGATCAGTCAAATCTTTTGTCGCTATACAGCCAACCGACAGCGCCTAGCTCGAATCAGATACAGATTGTCGCTCATAACCTTATGAAAGGTTTGGATGAAAGACTGAAGCATCTTGCTGAACAAATAAAGTGTTTACAGGAAAATAACGAATCAGAGGGCAGTTACGATCTTTCTCAGAATTACTTAACGGGAAATGCGAACCGGTCATCCCTTCGACTCACAGATGCGCCAGGCCAGGTTAATGGATGCTCTAATTGCGGTAGCTATGATCATCTTTCGTATGCTTGCCCGTTTGGAGGTGGCCACTCTACGCAGGCACAGTATGCACAGGAAGAACAAGCTTCTGAAGAGCGTTATCCGATGTCATTCGGTGTAGCACAGCATCCGCCAACGACGCAGCAACTGGCTTTTAACACACCTGGTAAATTATCATCTCAGGCGCAGCAGGTTAGGTCTGCAGAACCTCAGGTCACCGGTAGTGCACGATCGGCGTATTCGAGATGGCAGATTTAACTTTTCTGGTCTAATTGTCGTTCGTACGTGAAAATTTGTTTAGGTTTTGTAAACTTTTGTGCTCTTGAAAATTTGTTCGTAATTGGGTATTGCGTTTAATAATTAGTGATGCCTGCCCGTTGAGTTTGAAGGCTGCAGCAGTATTTATTGTTATTGAGGAGAGGGCAGATGAGAGAAAATTTTTGAGGTTGACAGCGCTGATTTGCTGAATTTTTGTTTGATGATGGCCAGATGTGAAAAGCCTCGCGATGGTAACGGTAATCGTTAATGTCAATGTCATGTGCAGAAATGATTTTGGGATATATTTAAACTGTTATCGCATATGTGCTGTATCGCTTAAATCTTATTTATCATTAATTCTCGCCGCTGGTTCGGCTAATGACATAAAATGCCAGATGTTGTCGTCTTGTTTCGGGCAGTCAGAGATCGTTAATGTCAACTTAAATTATAAAATTTTGAATAAAATCGTGAAAATCCAGATGTACTGCCAGTAAAAGTTAAAAATAAATTAAAGCTTTTCGATTCCAGGGAAAACAAGATCATAAATTTAAATGTCAGCGTTCACAACACATGACGGCATACTTGGCACAAAAACATAAATATTATTTTTCGAAATTCCCATTAACTGGTGCGGTTATGTTTTACTACGGCAATATGCGCATGGATTTTGGGCAACGGACAATTATGAATGTTCGTTCTGACTACGAAGAAAATAACTGAATGGTTCGATTTTATGGTTGTGTAAACTGTAAAGTGTATGGTAAACATTTTGCGCTCTTTTATTTAACTAATAATCTCGTCGAACAGAAGCCGCAGCTTGGTCACCCTTGTATACCACGGCAGCTCAAGTAAGTATTTGTGCTGAATTGATTAACGCTAATCACGTAAAATGAAATTGAAGAAGATCAACAACAATTTATGAAAAAGGGCTTTGCACGAGCATCAACCTATTTATATTCGCTCATATACGGGTGCGTGCTATAAACGCCCACCCTTGTTTTGTCGCGTGGTAATCTTATGCTAGATCCTATAGACGGGCCACAGCTATAAACGCTTGCCCTTGTCCGTGCCCTCTGTCTCTATTGTAATCGTGTCGTCATCCAGGTGCGCCTATAAACGGTCCCTGTTGGTTAAATTCCATCAATTAAGCCCTAAACATCTGACGATTTCAATGAGCAAATGCTAAAAAAGTTATCTAATTTTGAAAACATTTGCCTTATGCACAACAGCAAATAATTTCTGGCAACTTTGTGTTACCCCGGTCGAGCTCGCCTGTTGGTAGTCTACCATCATCGCTGCTGCACAGTGCTTCTAAAGGTAAGTATTTTATTTATATTAAAACGTAAAAGCTGTTTAAAAAAAAATTGTATATTTCGTGCGCATATCGCGGTACTGGAAAGATGGACGTTCCTCCCATAGTACGGGTATAATAAAGTTTTGTTCTGAAGTCATGCATTGTGTGAGGGTATTTCGCTGATATTGTTTTGGACTTGACTTTGACTCTGCGGATAAATTTTCATAATGCCGCAGTTGGCAACAGTATCATTATCGACTCGCTTTTTAAAGTTTTTTGTACTTGTCTAGTTTATGTATATGTCATAGTGTAAAAGCGGAAATGATTTTCAGTAATCTAACATAAATTAAACAAAAATAAACTGCTTCTAGCGCATATCTGTCCACACTAGACACGTAAATTATCCTTCCTTTAACTGTGTCTTCTCCTAATTATCTGAATTATCCGTCTGCAGTTTGGTAGTCGAAGTGGTTATCCGTTGCTCTGATACATCGAAATTTTTTCGCGAATTATGATGGAATGCCCTAACCAGTGGATGAATAAAATACAAACCTCTCGCAAAAATTACAAAAATAAATTATTTATTCCTTATTAAATTTCTCCAAAATTCGAAAAACAAAATACTTATTTTCGAACATAAGTGCACCCACTGAGTACACTACTCTTTGTACAGATTCACATAATTATGGCGCCTATCCTTAGCTCACTGTTTAAGCCTCACAGAAAATTTCAAAGTCCTCTCATTCCCAGCATTTTCTCCCCGTCGCCGATATTAGGCGACTGCAATTCCCAGCTTTCTCCTGTCTCTCCCTCATCGTTTCTCATGTATCCAACCATACCCCTCGCATCACTTCATACAAACAGACAGCACCTTAGTTGAGTACAGATTTCTAAAAAGGAGCTAGACCAACTGCGCTTCAACTCGGCTGACCAGTTTATCTGACTCTGTCTCGCCCCTACCATCCTGTCTGCTTTGCTGATTCTCACAGCTCGGTCTTGCCCCTCGTCACTCGGCTTCATTCCCATTGTAATGCGCTCGCTTTACGCAGTGTTGTTCTCGTGTCCTCTCTCTCTCCCATCCGCATTGTCTCTTATCTCGCTCCAGCTATTGTACATTCATGTGTCATTCTCGCGTTATTACGCCATACAATGTTATACACTTTATTGCCTGAAAGGTTTTTTGTCAGGAGGGTGCGTTTCTGGATTCGTGTTATTTGAATATTCAGTTTTGTATTTGCGGCAATTTTCAACGATAAAATCCTTAAATGAAATTGGCGAATTAATTCAAAATTACGGAAAAAAAATGTGTAAACATAAGTAGGGTTGCGTCAATGTGTGTTCAAGATTTTCAGAACCAGAAGTTTGTAACGATCTCCTACTGTAATACTGACGTCGTGGACATCGATATTACACTTCCTTTTCCAAGACCAGCATGAACCCGGATATTGCATAATTATCTGTTTGGATCAAGTGGTCATTCTTCAGCGTTGGATGGATTGACTTTACCGGACGGATACAACAATTAACGTCCTACGTGGAAAGCTTTGGATGTTACCTGCCATATTTAATTCTTGTTTTGCTAATAATGTTTTCGCACTAAATCTACGTTTTGTACCCCCAAAAAAATCTGAGCGTGATTTCTCTAATGTTTTTGCAAGCATTAATTTTTTTTGTATATGTTTTTTGTTTGTTTTTCTCTGAAAACATTCTGTTTTCAGTTTGGTAAGAGGGGAGTGTAACGGGGGTTCCTGTCTCATGTATTAGTATGTACGAGTATGTGCTTGGTTGTCCCGCCTCTTGTATTTCCTGTTCCTGTACGAGCGGTTCTGTATATATAGCGTTGTATTTCCTGTGGTATCTTCAGTCGTTGGGTTAGCAATATTTCGAGCAGTATCAGCCGGTTCCGTTGCCCGTTATACACATCAATCTGGATTCTGACCAAACGCATTAATTACATTTGTGGCGCTTTTCAGCAGTTCAATACGTAACCTATGAAAAACTACTTTAATGTACATCAAACTCACAGTACTATAATACCAGTACTCACAGTACTATTCTGCACCCAATTACAAATGCATAAAATATCAATTACGGTCATATGCGCATTGATGGATAAATAATTAAATCAGTTACGAAAGTACCGAAACTTGATCGATGAAATTCCTGTTAAATCTCGAATCTAATCGGGAGTACATCATTAACTTTACAATCATATAGTCAGTACAGTACGTACTGTACAGCTTAGGACAAAATGGTAGCATACCCAACATCTCCACATTCAGTACGAATGCAGTGCAGTACACTGTACGGCTAAGTTCAAAATATCCGGTTCGTACAAGTGCACTGCACCGCATGCGTACAGAATGCTGGGTATCGGGCTATGCGACCATTTCGTCCTACATTGTATTTGATATTGTTATTGTCAAATGCGGAAAAGTTCGACAGAACCGATGCACAAATCTACACGCCGAGATCGTAGTGCAAAGGCTAAACGGCCTGCTTCACCAACTGTTGCGTCGTATTAATTATTCGTCAGTAACACTCCTATGAATATCAAGTATCATTTAGAAATAATTTTTCGGATGGCAATAAGGAAGAATAAGAATAAATCTAACAAAACAGCTTATTATTAATAACTGTAAGAAATACTCACGCAATGCATTTGGACGACTCAATATTAAATATCTCGTTTCTTTTGTGGTTTTGTTTAAACTTTGGTAACATTTTTGATTTTTCGCCGTTGAGTACGACAAGAAAAACGTGAGATTTAAATCATTTAATTCATCTACCGCAACACTTTTATTTTACGTAATTCTCAGAATGCCAACAGACCAACAAACGACTAGAGCGTAAAACAAGAATAACACAAACCAGAAACATTTTAAACTTAAAGCTCTGTCCACATTGAAACATCAGACGAAGTGACGCAAACAACAGTCGACGCGACAAAAAGCACGATAAAAACAACCAGAATGACTTTTTCCAGATTCTCAAACCATGACCAGACTGCGCTATTTTATAACATCAATGTACAGCCACAACAAGAACATGCAAAAAAATTATTATCATTTATTGGTCCCTTAAATTGTATCAAGATTGTTGGGCGGCGACTCAGCGTTACTCCTGACTGCCGATTTTTGCGCGCCATTGAGCATGCAGCATCTTCCGCTGGCATTTCGGACAGGGCTTCGTGGCGTTCATACATCTCTTGTGGAAAACCGCGTAGCATTTGGAACACTAATAAAAACATTAAAAATATACTCATTTTAATTTAAAAGACCAGAAAAACATTCGCTGATAGAGCGAAAACAGCGGCATATTTTTTGCGGAATTTTGTTTTGTATAACAAATTCTGCAAATTTTAAATTAAATTTTAAATTAAAAATTTAATTCAGCTTTGCTATGGACTATGGTTGCACACTTACATGTAAACGAGGAAAATGGTGAACGAGGAAAACTATATTTTATTGTTTAAAGGTTTTTACATGCATCTAAAATTACTCTAAATCATTCAATACAATATTAATAAACTGCTAAAACAAATAATTAATACCAATAAATGCTAATAAAAATTCTAATAAAATTGTTAACTGTTGATAAATTCAAAATTACTGAGAGAACCGTTTAATGCAAAATTCTCACAGTATATGTGTATTACAAACTGCAAAATGCCTGGATATTTTCAGAAGACGATATTCCGATTTTTTTTAAAAATTATATCAATGAAGTTGAAATCAATATCAAGATTTTAACCTGATAATTGTCCTTGGTATCGAAGGCGTGCAGTACTTCTCCCACGCGGCAGACTTCACAAATAAATCCCCGCTGACTACACAGGAAGCACTTGCGGACATGATCAATGCCAAACTGGATGGCGGTCTTCATTTTGGGTATCAGCGATCCATTCCGTGTCATCAGTAAATCCTGCACAATAAATGATTTTCGAAGCGGAGATAAATTTACCACTGAAGCACTGGTTGAATGGTTTTATCAACACCCAGCTGACTAATTTACAATTATTAAGTGTGATAAAAAAATGTTCTACCGGTAAAAAATTATCTTTAAAAGTAGCTATAACTTCTAAATGAAAATTCTTTTATTACAGACGGCTAGCATCGACGTTGTGGGATGCGGGTACATACCGCAGTCGCAGTGTACCATGGATCACTCCCAAAAGTGCACTAAGTTAACCACTGCACTACACACGTTCGCTACACTCACCTATTTAAAAACAAAATAGCAATAGTATACCACTCTATTTACCACTGGAAATAGTAATGCATTCACGGAGAATGAATTTTTAATTACTAATTTATTATTTTTAAATAGTTTTAATTTCCCAGAGAACTGAACTGCACAATATGTTCAACACAATACTACATACCTGAACATACATGACACAAATCATTACAAATACGTGACAAGAATCTCAACTTCCACAAACGAGAATATGTGCATGTGGGACGTACCAGCAGCGAATAGACATGGATACTTTCGTGGAGATGATCATGCGGCCATAATCGCTGGTTGAACTGCTCACATACGTCCTTTTTACACGTCCACAGATAAGATTTGACAATTTGCAGTTGAATGCGATAATGCTATACAAAAAACTCGTTAGATAAATGAAATAAACTTTATCATATTTTTTCTAAGCATTTCTGCCATGCCTAACGCGTATTACTTTGTACCTGAGCTTCTTCCATTTGTGCAATATACGTGTACAGTTTCGGGTTCAACTCTTTCAGATCGAATAACGGTGTGGTCTCCACCGCGTCAATTAACTCTTTAGCACGACTGCAAACTACACAAACGAAAAAACACGTTGGAAAAAACACGATCCAAACGTGGAACGGATCGACGAATTTACGGATAATATTTCGACATCGCTAAAATTTTTTAATTACGAGAATACTAATACAAAATAAAATAAAACAATGCACACTGTGAAAGTTATGTCGAGAACAAACCTTTATACTTTCTAAAATCCCAGTTATGGATAATCAGCGAGGGAATCACCGATTCATTGTCCACATGACAATCCAAACAATAATACAATCGATCGAAATGGCATAAACGCGATTTTCCGTAAACTGCAAAACCAGGCTAACATTAACAGACTGCATACTGAATTTTCAAACACAAAAATCAAATCCCATGCACTTAAATGTAAAGTTCACACTAGATCAATGATAAATGTTAGTTCAGCTCCTGGTGTCTATAATCGGAAGCGCACATTCAAAAAAGCAAATGTACACCGAATGTCAACTGTACTTGTATAAGAGTAGCGAAATGAGGACAAATTCTGCTGAATATCCAAAATACCGAAATCGTAGTGCACCGGCTGTACCGCTAACTGGTGTTTACGCTGCACGCATGGTGCAAAGTGCAAACTACTACGTACAGAATATCATGTGTTGCTTATAAACAACTTGCTAATAAACTTTTTTTCAAATGGCAATGAAAAAATTCAGTCCAACGATGTAACTTTTATTATAATTATCAGAATTACTCACGCATTCCAATTGGACGACCACATGCACCGCATTTGTAATGCTGCGCACGCAGCCCCTTTTCCAGGGGAATTTTCACCAACAATTCACGCTTTTTGCCCTTCAAAACGCGATATCATTTTATTCAACATAAATATAACGATCAACAGTATTTTCTACCGTACTTCAATGCTTTTAGTGGATATCACATAATCAGGACTGAGAATTTCAAAATCATGCTCAAAATCTCCCGGCGACATCTGTAAATCAAGAAATATTTCAAAATCGATTTTATACGAACTTCCGCAATTTGAAAAAAAAAACTTTAAATTTACAATTTTTCTTACATCATATTGAGAAGCGGTGGGCGTACCAGCCGAACTGCTATCGCTCTGGAAGGCGTCAATCATCTGAGCAAATTGCGATGATCCAATGCCCAGGGAACTGGAGAAGCCCGGCGTGATGGCCACGCTGCGTTCCTGCACAGCGTCAAAACTTTCATCTAAAACACAGCATGATCTGGGAAACAGTGTCCAAACATTAATCTGTGTAAAACTTTGCTTAAGGCTTGCACTTGCATCGCATGTGGGCAAAACTATATTAAATTTTACACTGCATAAAACGGGAATAAAAATTAGCTGATAAAACGTAAACGGCAAAGTGGATACCGTTATAAACTGCAATCGGTCACATATCGTAGAACAACGGCTTAAAGCGCCTGTTACAGGTCGGCCACGCCAAGTTGTCAACAAACGTTTGCTTATTTATTAAATATTTTCGAATGACTCTAGAATTTTTTATTTAACTTTAGCATGATAACTATTTCTATTCTGTATGATTTGAACCTAAGATAGCCAACAAGTAAGAGTTTTTCGAAAAGTTGCAACAGAAAATTCGAAGGCCCCTTGCTTTACAAAACGTCCCGACCCGTCTACCGTGGTCGCCTTCCGTTGAATCCGTTCGCCCTAAATTTGTCAATAAATCGGGGTCATCCCTTAGTCCATCGGTGACAACTCAAGACTGTTTGATGTCCAATATTGTCTCGGAAGAAATATCACCTGGTTCTCTTCGAACGCCTGGGAGGTCGAAACTGCGACTTGGAGATTAGCACTGTCAACATGGAGGAGGACGCTCTTCTAGCGATCCCCACAGAAACGTGGAATGTCTTCCCTAATCATCTTTGACACAAAACGATTAAGGAGATATATCGCATCAGTTTAAGCTATGGTATAGACCAGGGAAACGCGGCTCATTTCGTCGCAGCGGATTCCCATTGCGCGCATCATTTTTCTTCGATCGCTTTGTCGAACCTTTTGCCGACTCGCCCGTGTAGAAAATGTTTTTTTAGAGTTTCTGCTAAGATAAGTATACTGACCGGAATGACACCACTAAAGATCTGGCTTCGGACCTTGTTTTCTGACATCAAATTTCAAAGCCAACGGTCAGATAATGATTTCAGTAAATGCAGACTTTAATTCTGTATTAGAAACAAGCAATTAAACTGGAGTAGGCAAACTTTATCCAATTTTAAAAAAAATGAGTTGATGTTTTGGTGACAACTTGGCGTGGCCGACCTGTATATGTTCAAGAAGCACGCGGCAAACGCATAATCGAAAAAATAGAATTTACGAGTTCAATCAACCAGCAGCTTTTTCGTTTATTTTGTACACAGCTTCTTTGTCAACAGTTCGTTTCTATTCTGTAGAAAAACATCAAACAGAAAATGGAAAACATTCAAAGAAAACTTAATGCTTAGAAAATCGCTTAACGCAAAAATCTTCAAAAAATACGTGTATTATATACTGTAAAATGCCTGGATATTTTCCGACAGACGATATTTAATTTTTATAAAATTAGATTAATGCATTTCAAATAAATGTCATTGTTTCCAGATCGCACAGGGTTTCGTTTGTTTTCCGTTTTTTTCAAATGCAAATCTGACCAACAGTGAAAATGCAAGTACAGAGTAATCCTGCAAGTAATATAATAACAATACATAGTAAAATAAATCAGAAAATAAGTAATAAAAACTATTTAAAAAAAGCACCATACGAACAAGAACTGACTTACGCGTCGCCGCCCGCTTTTTCCGTACACTCCGCGGCGACGGCACCACATCCGCATCATCATATGACGACGACCAACCGGTATGCTTGCCGACCAGATTCGACCCGGAATGATTGGACTCCGCATCCGCCCCCTCCTCCTCCACTTCCGCCCGCTCCCGCAGCGGCCGCCCGATGGGCAGGGGGAGGGAGGCCGGCGACTGCCGGTGCATCTCCTCCTCATCGCGCCGCACCGTCGCCATGCTGTCCACCGTCGTGATTTTGAGAATGGCCTCCAGCTCCTCATCCAGATGTTCCGTGGTGATGATCTTCGGGGGCAGGGGGAGATCGGCGAGGGGTTGGGGTGGCGGGAGGGGCGAGGATTGGGCGCGGGGCCGCAGGACGGTGCCGTTGCGGGTACGGGTGGGGATGATGGTGGTTTCGCCGTCGCTGGCGGTGTCGGGGAGGTCGGGTGGGGAGCATGGGGGTTCCGGTGGTGAGGGGGTGGCATGATCTGAACAAACAGGAAGAATTCATCAAAAAAAGTCTCTATCGCTTTTGCTACAGATGAGCCGGGAAATTTCCACCTGTTTGAAACGTTGCCATACCAGAGATTAGCCATTGGACTACAACAATTACACCAATTCTCTAAATCATCGGCCCAACTATGGCTTACAGTACTGTATACGAAAAGCACAAGATTTTTTTCGAAATATCTGGCGAAGCAAGCAATAACATTGTCTCCGCCGAACAACTTACCAAAAATAAAATAAAACTGATTTTGGTCCTTCTGGTTAAATTCTGTCAAAAGGAAACTGCACTATGATAGTTACACAAACGGTATTCTCAAATAGTATAACGAATTGTAATCCACAAAATTAAAGTTTTCTCATCCGTTTAAGTCAAGACTGAGGCACCAGACGGCCAGAGAAGCGTTTGTGATTTTCCTAAACTTTGCCGAAGTTTCGCTGTCCCCGTTCTCGATATTTGAGTGTTCAAAAAAGCGTTAACAGGAGCAACGACTTTTAAGGAAAAGAAAAACAGAAAAATCCTGTCGCTCACCACTGGGCGGTTGGTTGTGTTTCTGGTTTTCTGGATCGGGCAGCAAGCCCGCCAATAACAGCGCCCGTCTGTCCCACCGATTCAGATCCTTATCAATGGACAAACAGAATGCAAAATTCTGTAGACCTGCCAACAATATTTTTTCACATCTATTAAATCAATGGAAATTTGCAAAACAACGCACGCAAATTATTTTGTGTGAAAAAGGTACAAGAGGACATTACGCAAAACATTACTGTACTGCACACAAAATGTCTCACCTAATAAGTGACCGCTAACAATGTCCAGCATTTCCGGATCCCGCAAAAACGCCCACGGCTGGTAAAACGTTCTGTGGAAAAATGTTGGAAAAACAAAGTCATGTCATCAAATATACAAATATCACAGCCATACTATTCCATTAATTATATGCACCAAGCCACTTTTCTACGAATCTCCCTACAGGACATGTGTTGCCATTCGAATGCATAATTTGCACTGTAAAAGAATTTCTCTTCGCCGATTAGTTAAGCTGCTAAACGCTAAATTAAAATACCTTTAATACCACAAAAAAACGCCATAGTTTTCATGAAATTAATTGTAATTTGACGAACAATTACTAGAAAAATTAAAACAAACTGAAATGCATTAAAAAACTCTCAAAAAACTGTAGTTTTGCCGGTGATGCTCAATATACAAACTAATAAAAAATAGGCATAATTTCAGAATAAAAATGTCTGACCTGGTTAACTCCTCGTTTGAGACAATGGCATGAAGGTAAGATTCAAAGAGGGAATCGTTCAAGGCCAGCCGCAGCCACACCTGAAAGGAATCGATGAGGCCAGCAATCACACACATCTGTCGCCTTTTCCCATACCCGACAACGGCTAACATCCGTGCGGACGGACCGGGCGAAATTGATCCTCTGCAGGACATCTCGATGGCAGACAGTACTGACAACCGGCCAGAAATTCTAAGAGGAAAAAACTCGGATGCATGATGCAAAACAAGTAGCCAAATTATTTCTTGATTATAATTTGCTGGCCTTTTATCCTTGAATTTTTACTATGCACTTTTCACTGTATTTTTAGCAGTGATTATCAGTTTTAACTTTTAAAAGGCAAAAAATTAATTTCGAAAAAAATCAGATACGTACAAAACAAAATAGAGAAAACAATTGCCAGTACGTAAAAGCTGACATAAACATTAGACAGAAACATGAGGACAATTCGTTCAGCAAAGCGAAATACGAGTGCGGAATGGCACATTAAGTACTTAAGCAAAAATTCCAAAATAATATTTTAATCGCACTTCACAATTTCTTTATAAAATTGTTTCGACAGCGCTGTTTTTCCATCGGCACAATTTTCTTACCGTGTTTTCCAGGAGCGACGACTTGGAAATTCCGAATGCTGAGGAAAGCTACACAGAGATAAATAAAATAACGTTAATAAACACCGGTTAGACAATGGTTATCTATCGAGGAAAACCAAACACTTGCATGCAGATACCGACACAATCCTATCTATCAATGCCAATACGATAACACGATTAGCATCGTATCCTACAAATGCAACACATTTTTCTTGAGTTTTATTTACAAAATTATAGTCCAGTTGATTACGTCAGTGCCGCCTGCTATAACGTTCTCGAAATGATCAACAATAAAATAAATAAAACTGCGTAAACAGGCACAACGCCTATTTTACAGTTCAAACTGCAAATGCACACGAATATTATGCGACTTGCAACACCGTGTAGCAAAACGGATACAGAAAAGTCGTAGGGTACTGGCTTTGCAGTGATAACGAGTACAAACCTAGGACACAGATTTTCATCATTTTGTTTATGCATTCTAACCTTAAAGGAAATCCGCTTCTTTTTTTTAAAATCACGATTTGATAATTGTCAACGAGACTATAAAAACCCAAAACTTGAAAGTGAAACCGTATAAGGATAATACAGCCGCAAAATCATAATTAAATAAGTTAAAGCAATAAAGCCAAAACATTGTAATAAACAGTTCCGCTTAAGAGAGTTTTTTAAATTACATTTTAATCTTTTTAACGTAAGTCATCTGCTAATTAAAACTTATGAAACAGTACAAAAAATTAACAGACTGTTTGCTTTTCATAAGCATGCATGACACACACACGTACCTGCTTTAAATTTAAAAAATTTCTTCGATTTTCACTTTCAGTGTGCGACTCCTAGAATCAATTTTAAAAAATACCTTGACAGTCCAAGAATTCGGCAGTTGTCCATGAAGCAGTACAGCTTCTATCAAGCTGCACAGATTTTCCCCCAGTTCATCACTGGAACGACGGATAATTTTACATTTTTTTAAAAACCATAGCGTTTGGCGGTGGCCCACCTGACAACAGCTGACTGGTCCCTGGCCAACTGCTGCTGAATAGCATGCACACCACTCGATAATTCCTCCACGATGCGCCGTTTCACCAGATCGGCGAAGAAGCGCTGATCCGCGTCGGATACAGCAACGTCCACTGTAAACAAAGACGCCATGCTGCCCAACTGGCGGATAAATTTGCAACGGGAGAAGAGGAAGCCAATCTTACTGGTCGAATGCGCGAAGCAGCTGAATTGGAATCCGTCAGCAAATAATTTCCCAAGCGACGGAAAGTGTCAGACAGCGAGAAATCATCAGGATTCCGCAGATAATAGTGGCATCGTATCCACTAATAAGCGATACTGCACGCACTATTATTAACAGAAATTAATATTAATTAATTAATATTTATTAAAGTTAAATGTTAATAATAATTTTCTTAGTGATAATTATAAATTAAGCGTCATAATGTTTCGTGCAAATTAATGGAAAAATTTTCAAGGCAACATTTGTAACATAACAACACCACTTCAGATTATTTAAGCAAGCTGCAAGCAACAGCAAGTTCAATGGCCAAGATAAGCCGACTAAATAAAAAGCTACACGAGCACAACATTACAACAATTACAAACTGAAAAATAGAAATACGCAAAATTCGTATGATGGAAAATGATTAAATTTTCAATTTCCATACAGCCGGGTAGCGAAGGATACGTTATAAACGCCGACCACCAGCATAAAGGTAGCACAGGAACAGGGTCTGCTACAAGCATGAATGGGCGAATGGGAATGCAGTTCAGCGGTTCATTGGAGCCAGTGTGAATGCATGAATGGAAAAAGCGTGCCATCGATCGCTTACGTATTCTGAGTGATCAGTTCGGAAAACTCGGATTCCGAAAAGCTTTCTCATCCTATAATCGCGAAAAACCACAACACAACATCAGGAAAATTGTAGCAGGTTATCATCCTCGGGGATTTCTTACCAGAATGCACGATAGATTTCATACATAAGCAGCGCATTTTGTAATGCACTGAACGTTTCACGTTTGTGAACCTGGGAGGTTTTTCGATCTGTGACTGCAGAGAGCTGCGTCTCTTTGGCTGATGATTTTCATTTGTACCATAATTTCGTTTGATTTGAATGCTTTCTTGGTCAGATCTCTGTGAACTGTAAGAGTTTTTGATTGTGTAAAATATCAGCCGGGATCAGGAGGAGTGGAAGATGGACGGAGCCCTCGATTTGTACGCGGACGAGAATGACAACTTTGACGAGAACTTTGGCCAGGTACGCTGTCCTCTCAGAACTTATGATGTCCCACTGGATGACATTTTAGCATCATCACCGCAAATGATTTGGCAACTATGAGATTTTATTTTTTAAAATTATTTTTGTTTTGTGCACCGTAAAGAATTTTAGCTGTGCTGTAAAACAGTAAAAGTAAAAGCCCTACTCTAATTTTTTATTTTCACTGTGAGATCGTGTAATAAAATCCGGCGAGCATCGTAGTACCCTGTATGAATCATTGGTTTCTTGAATATGTTTACTGAACTTATCGCTATAGCGCAGCGTTAATTTTGCTTCGACGATTTCCCCACTTTCTCAGACATTCATCAGTTCTTAATTTTTACAGGAAGGAATGCGTGATCACAGCGGGGATGCTGGTGTCGATCTGTACAACGATGTCCTCGGAGGCGATACACCCAGCGGACCGAACAAGGTACAGGATTAAAGAAAACCGCGGCACCATCGGATATGGATGGACGGATGAACAGGGAAATGGTGTCGTCAGCGCTGCAATTGTGAGTATTGTGTTGCTGTAGGGCGACAGCGATCATGGCGGCGGGGAGATGATGGACGACAGCAGTTTCCACGGCGGACAGCAGTCAGCGGCCGGCAGCGGTGGAGGACGTCGCTACAGTCTCATTCTCGGCAATCTAACCTGGGTTAGTTACAAGCGTTTGCATTCTGCGCACCAAACACGGTGATCAAAGGTGTTGTTTTGACTGTGTTTTTTATTCCCTGTTGCACGTTGTTATACTTGACCATAGGGCTTGTGTATTACTGTGACTAGTTTTTGCCTATTTAATTTATTGTTTAAGGTGATAAGTGATAGAGGAATTTTCCTGGTAATTTTTTGTGGTATTAGTATTATTATTTTTCTACTGTAAATATATTTGGACGGGTCTGGATTTTCAAATGGGGGAAAAGAAGGACCACGCGCACAGCTACGCTGAAGCGTATTAATCAGCCAAGCTCTTTTTTGTCTTTCCTTGCTAAATGTGTCTGTGTGTTTTCATGGCTTAAGTACTGTACTGCTAGTATTCGTTGAAATTGATTTTCGGGGAATGTTTTTGAGACTTGGGAAGTGATGCTGCGAGCACTGGTTGATTGCAGTGACATCTCTGGTTTACCTTGTATTCGTTTATATTTTACCATCGTTTGTGTTCGCTGCGTTGAGAACCGACAAATGCATAAGACCGTTGTTATTATTGACGACCCCGATGATCTGTTATCTGTGCGGTATTAAACGCGCGGTCGTTTTGGATGGGTGTTTTGGTTTGTTGTCGGCGCTGTCAGTCCATTATAATTTATGGAGAGGCTTTGAAAATATTTTAAAATTTTTACCGAAATACCAAAAACTCTTGCCGAAAGATTCCCAGTTAAAATTCGGTACATGTTACCATGACACCTCAATTTTATTTTTGATTTTACCATGGTACTTACTTTTATTGTTATAGTCCTGCTTTTTATTTATTAAATGGCTACCGTAATGGTTATTACTTATTATTTTATTGAAATTTACTTAAAAAAGCATATATGGTTTTTATACGTTTTCGTAAACTGAAATGAACCTTTGTATATTTTAGGGCGTTTTATAGCATTATTTTCTGGGCCGGGCACTATTTATTTGCATGAAAGTCAATCAGTTTAGAAAAGAACTACTCTCATAGAACAGCACTATTTTATTTGAAATAAAACTATTGCTTTTTTGTAATTGTTGAACACCACGCTAACATACTCCGAGATTGCGCTGCCTATTTAATTTTGTTTTAATTTAATAAAAATTTGGTTTAATTTGTTATTTTCGTTTTAATCAGTTTTTAATTTAGCTAATTCAGTAATTGATTTTTCGATAACAATTTTAATTCTTGTCTTTTCCGTTCTCAGAACGGAAACGGCGTTCTGTTATCGACTGAACCGTTTGCCGGAAATATTTGGTTTTATTCTATAGCGGTAAAAATCTAAAACTTAATAATACCAGGCTTTTATCGATAAAAATTGTAAAATAAAACAATATTAATTTTCGATTTGCCGGCATGGAATCCCTTGCACACTGGGAAATACGGAATCAGTTACACCATACAAAGTTGTATATATTATTGCAGTGGACATCAGATGACGACATCCAGGAGCTAATCGACAGCTTCGGCATCCAGGATCTGTATGAAATTCGCATCCATGAGAATCGTTCCAATGGTCAGTCCAAAGGTTTTGCCATCATCACGGTCGGCTCGGAAGAGACATCCCGATTTCTTCAAGCGGAAATCCCCAAAAAGTATGGTCTGTGCGTGCTGGACGCCGGCGCCCATCTTTACCATAGAATTGTTGTTCTGTTTTTGCATGTATTTGTTGAAGACAAATACGGGAAAACAGAATGTGCGAACGATCCGTATAAAATATGCAAAATTCAACCGAAAACAGCAATCCGAGTTTGGAAGCTTTTAATACGATGTCGAACCAGATGCGTAGTGTGTATAAAATTATTAATAATCGTAACATTTATTTAATCTATTTATATAAGTGTATTCATTTGTACGTTATGAACTTATAATAACTTATACATAAATTACATACATTTATTTTTATATACATACATATACTGAATAAGCAGAATTCGTGCAAATAAACAGTTATGACGACAATTAGCTACTGAAAAACAGAACAGAAAAAGCAACAAATCACTCAAAAATAAAGATATTATTAGTAAGGCTGTTCAAAGATACATTTCTTACAAAGTGCCGTTTGTTTATTTTTCTGGGTTACCATCAAGCAAATAAAAAGCAAGTTTTAAAATTTTTGAATAAGGAAAACTAGGATCTGCGTGGATAATCATAATAGTCTGAAATGTTTGGCTAATAGGTGTATTTATAGTATTATACTATTTTATCAGTATTTATTTTAATAACGGTTATTTTATTAGGATGTATCGGTGAACGATATGAATACAATTATTATGATCATGATAAATAATACCTAATCATAAGTATACCACAAACGATTATATCATATGATTATATTTTATTTGTTGCATATTTTTCTTTTAGTTAAGTAATCATTAATTTTTATACTTTATAACAGTTTTCACAGGGATCTGCAAGGCCAGACGCCGGTGTGCGTGCCCTTTTCGCGGCAGGCACTGAACACCTTCGACGCCCAGTCCCGCAAGAACGAGGGCAACCGCGGCAACCAGATGCAGAACAATCAGGGTAACCAGGGTAATCGGGGCGGCGGGATGATGGGGAACCGCGACGGAGACCGGGGTGGTGGCGGCGTCAACAACAACAACAACATGGGCATGCAGAACCGGCAGAACGACAACCGCCCGCGACTGCCGCCGGGTTTCCCGCAACCCGGCACGCGCCTGCCGGGTCTGCCTGGATTACCGCGTTTCCCGCTGGGCATGGGTCTACCGGGAGGTAAGCTCAGTTTGGAATTTTCCAAACTTTTTATACCCATACCATTAATATTAATGTAATAAAGATGTTAAATAAATTATTAATTTGAATCATTGTGAAATTATCATTGTATTGGGTTTTATTGGATTCATAATACTGTAATAACTATTTAAAATCTTACATGCTAAAAAATTACTTATTTAGTATTTTATTATTTAAAATAATAATTATTTAAAATCTTACGCGCTAAGAAATTACTTATTTAGTATTTTATTATCCAAGATAAAGTGGGAAATTGTTCCGTTTGTTCCTTGTTCCGTTAATAATTATGGATTAAAGATTTTACATAAATTATTATAGCGAATAAATGTGAAATTGTTCCTTTTTCTAACTCGTATTATTGAAGATTGTGAATACATTATTACTGTGAATAAATACCTTTTTCACTTGTGTCATTAACAGTAAAATAAATATTAAGTACTACGAGTAAATCATAAATAAAGTGAATCTATTCTAAACCAGTCGTTGTATGAACGTTTCTTATTATTTTTGTTTGCAGTTATGGCAATGCGAGGCTTTCCACCTGGTATGCGCCCCGGATTGCCGGGAATGGTAAGAATTTTTTGTCTTTTTTAAAAAGACGGGTTGATCGCATTTGTTCTCCTTGTATAGCTACGTCCGGACCGACCGATGGGCATGGGCGGCATGGACTGGGATCCCACGGCAGCCTGTAAGAAGACGATTATCGTTTCTCCCAGATTTTTCCGCATCTCTCATTGATGTCACAGTGCATAGACAGATTGTGATGCGCATATGGTTTTCAATAATTGCTTAGATGTTTATTTTTATCTTATTTTTGCGGTGTTGTTTAATGCTCGTTATACTATAATAATCAATAATCTAATTAAATTCTAAATTACGATCGCAGTATTTTATTTTTGCGATGTTGTAATGCTGGTGTTTGTGTTACAGCGGCTGCCGCGGCGGCATTCGGTTTCGGAGCCGGCATGGGCCGGATGCCCACGCCCGGGCTGGGATTGCCGACGCCCCATGTCAATCCGGCATTCTTCGGAGCGCAGGCGTTCAGCGCTATGCAGTCACAAGAGTATGTGTACATTGGAAAAGCTTCTCGCATTAATAATATTTTCATACCCACCTTTAATTCAGTATTTAGTGAATCTGTCTTTTTCCTTGTTCCACCTAAATGTACTTTATGTTTGACATACCAGGATAATTTTTGACAGTGTTTTTTTTTTTTATTTTCCGTGGTTGATGGAACTTTTATTTTATATTCAAATGGTTTATTGATAAACTGGTATTTTTTGTAACACTTTATCATAATGAATTTTATAGTGGTTCTTTCAGTTTTTCAGTGCTGACTTTCTTCGTTTATTTTTAAGTTTTTTGTATTTACCGCATGCATAATTTTATTTATTCTTATTTATTGCATAATTATTGTTAAGTATTTATATTTTCTCTTTTTTCCAGAGGGTTTGATCGCGGTTCGGATATGGGTGGCGGATCACTGCCCAACTTGGTGCCGGGATCGGATGATTACGAGACGCTCATCTCGCAGATGAAGAGCGTAGCGTCCAATGCCATCGCGAAAGCGGCAGCCGAGTGTAAAACCGGTAAGCCGGCATTTGTTTTCATCTACAGTAATAGATTGTATTTTTCCCCGTTTACCGTCGTTTGTTTGTTATACATACTTACGAAATTACGGTTTTCTAGTTGAAATAATTGTATTTTGCCGTATATGTAGATCCTAATAGTGCGCTGGAGAAACTGGAGACCGCCCTGCTGATTGTCAGTTCGTGTAAGGTGTCAGATGATGATCGCGTACAACGCCAAATCAAAACCCTCCAGGAAGCCATCGACGATATCAAATCATCCAAACCCATCGAGTCGTACGTAATTTTTTTATTATTTTTTTGGTGGAATACATTATTTACTAAAATATATTCTTATTGCCTTATGATTAATTGTTGACGTAGTGTAAGTGATGCTGATTATAAATTCAATATATCCGGATATATTAGATGTTATGTGTGCGAGTACTTTGTACAGCCCTGCTCCACCACACGCGGACAGTTTCTCCCAAAAATCACCGTAGTTTACCCGTCGACAAATTGACAAATCTTTAATTTTCACATGATTCCCATATACGTCCAACATCTTCTGCACTTGTGATTTCAGTGCTGAAAGTGTGTTTCAAATTATGGTGGAATTAAAACTGGAGCAGACCTGCTTAAAAAAGCGGCTCGACCCTTCTACCTCGGCTGTCTTCGTCTCTTTCAAAATTTAATTAAAAATTCTGTTGCTGCCTCAATCCAAAAATGGAAACTTTAAGATGTTTGCCCTTTAATGCTCTTGTAAAAAACACTAGACAGTAGCCTAGTTCCGTTAGACCTCCTTGACCTTTGCAATGTGACTGAGGGCACTGTCAAATTAAAGGAGGACCTTCTTTGGTCGCTAGCTGTACAGTCATGTGATGTCGCTGCTAACTGATTTTGACAAAATTTCGTTTGCGAGATAATAAGAGCTATGTAAGCGTTTCCAGTCTAGGCTTAAGCTCGAAACATCCAGTTACAACAAATTTCGAAAAACGCGCAGGACTTTTTTGACAACAGTTTTATAGATATCTTCTTCAATTTACTTGGCACTTCCAGCTCTCTGCCAGTGTTATTGATATCTGCCGAAAAATTAAAATCATCTAATCTAATTCATGTCTCATCTTTTAAAAATAACACCTTGAGGTGACTCTGCTCTGTGCGCCAGGCAACCACATTTTCCAGTAGGTGCCGTTTAACATACAAGTCTATGGGACATGCATGTTGCTTTGAGGTCACCTCGAGCACAGCTCGGGCAAGAATTTTTTGCTAACCCCTACCGTACACCTCTTGAACCATTCTAAACTTTTCAAAAAAGCCCACTCGAAAATATTGATTGATGCAGGTTTTATAGCTGCAGTTATACGCACGGTAAAAATGGTCACTACCCCTTCCTCTTGATCGCCCCTTGGGGAGTTACCGGCATATCAAAAGATTCAGATCTTAGTATTACTAAATTTACAATAAAAATTTACATCAGGAAAGTATAAAGGATGAAACCTAACGACGCGCAGAAGTATTTTTAAATTTATGTTGTGCAACTGTCCGCGTGTGGTGGAGCAGTATACTGACTACAGTTTTTAAGCGCACCATTTTCCTCTTTGCGCTGCTGTACTGTAATACATAGCCGGTAGATTATGGCGTTCTTGTAAAGTCAGAAAATAAAAAAATCATAAATATTGTATTTTATTTATGGTAGTATTATTTACAGTAGAGTAGGCTAAAATCTATCAGCTTCTTCTAAAAAAAGTCGGCAAATTTATTTGTTGAATTAATGCAGTTTTACGAAATGCTTCACTTGTAGCTGCAGTAAGAGCGAATAAATCGGATTTAACTGAAAATAATACAGTTGAATGAAATAAATAAATCGGTATGGTTTAATCGAAAATAAAATCAAATAAAATAAATTGAAAATAAAATAAAGTGGATGTAACTGGTATGTGAAACTGTGTATTTTGTTGTAGGCGCAACGGTGACCGGCATTCACGGGATCGGGATCGTTCACGGGAGCGCGAACGCGACCGCCACCGCGACGACCGCGACCGGGATTCCCGGCGGGAGCGCGAGCGCGTCCGCAGTCGCTCCAAGAGTCCGCGCCGGCGCAGCAGCCCCGACCGGGACCGGGATTCCCGGCGGGACCGCGATCGGGATCGCGACCGGGACCGCCGCGATCGGGACCGGGATCGCGATCGACGGGATAGCGATCGCGAACGGGATCGTCGTCACTGAACGCCTCTCCTTTGCGCGGCTGTATTTAGTTAAAATTTTTTGACAATTTGATTCCACTATCATTATCCTGGATTGTAGTTTTCAACTATTCTGCGGTAGATGGTTTTTTTTGTTTCTGTTGTTTATATCATCGCAAGTATTGTGGTCATGAAACTCTGTTATTGGAAAAAGGGATTTTTTGGCGGGCTGTGACCTTTAATGTTGTGAGAAAGCGGTCTGAGGGAAAAACTGTTAAATTACGTATTTATTTGGATATTTACAAGTACTGTTGTTTTCGTTTTAGCGCAGCTTACGCAAGCCTCCGTCCTTCGTACACCTGATTAACAAAAAGCCCAGAAACCATACGGCATGTATCTGTACAATTAGGAAACCGGGACAGAAAAATCTCGACGAATTAAATTAGTCAAAATAAAAATTACCCAGAAAATGTAGTAAACAATCAGATAAACGTTAATTCGTTGTCGGCCATACCGAAATGACCTTTGTACTCGTGAAACAGCAACATCAGCGCATGTCGGTATTTCCGGTGCAGTTCGCTGATTTCTTGATCACTGGGTGTGGTGATCCGCGGAACGGGAATCGGTGGCCCCACTAAAAATAGGAAAAAAAATTTAAAAACAGTGAATCTTTTGAACCGGTTAATAAGAATTTCTGTAACTTAATCCTACTGCAGAACAACAACAACAACAAAATCATTAAATTGATCATCGTTATCGCCATCCAGCGGGGGTATACCGAATAACTGTACTTTATCGCCTGTGCATAAATTAACATTTAATTTGTTTAATACGCAACAGCTGTGCCTATGATTATTTGTCGCACATACCAACAATATTGACAGGCTGCTGTGCCGGCATAAATCCATACCGCCATCCGCACACACCCTTCCCGTAGAACATCACCGGCACGAAACCCGTCCATTTATGCAGAAATTTCTGTACTTTGCGAATGAGCGATTTCGGCGGATTAGCCACAGCTTGCCGGTACAGATCGTTCTCTCCGAACGCAAATACCGGTACTAAATGGCACCTAACAAAAATTAATAACACAGCAACGAATGAGATTTATTATATATTTACAATATTTATTTTAAATTCATTTTTAATTTAGATTTTAATTATTTTGATTTTAATTTTTTTCTCATTCTTATATAAAATTTAATTTATCTTATTTAGGCTGTGCATTACCCGTTTTCCAGTGCAGCTTTAATAAATCCCTTCCGGTGTTTCAGCACACACTGACTCCCGCCGGGATGCGACTCCAACGCCTCCCCGGCCCCACCCGCCAAAACCACAATCACATTCCCTTTAGTCTCCGTAATGCGGGCCACGTTTTCCTTCGTGGCGGCACACGCGCCCAACAACCGCCACACATCGCGCATCACCGGCCAGTAGAACGCCACTCGGCTCAGCAGATGCCACGCCCTCAATCCCGGGAAGATCCGTGCGAAATCCGCGCCTTCCGTTAAAAAGGCGGCAAAACTCCCCAGGGCGGCAATGCCGTGGGGGTGGTAACCGAAAATGTAATTATTCTGTGCCGGGAGGTCAACCGTACGGATGACCTTTACCGGGAAATATTGTGCAAAGTGGCGGAAGAGGGAAGCGTGGCGCAAACTGGGAGAAACGCGTGACGCGTCGGTGATCGGCTGATTCCAGTCCAGACAATACCAGACGCTGTATAATAACGAGAGCCAATAGTAATCGGTGAAGAAGAAGAGAAAGAAAAGTGCCGTGGTGATTATCCATCCGAATAAGAGAAATGTGGTGACAATGCAGCAGCTGATTTCCGGCCATCTCTCATCAAGTTTCTGGCTGATCGCAATAACCGAATCAATAAGGGTGTCGATGGTTAATCCTGATAGACTACTGAAACGCATGGCGCGTATACCGGTATAACACAACATTCAGTAACATTAACATAACATGACAAGTCATAACATTCAGCAATTATTGCTAAAATTTACCTTTACGTACAGTTACGTTTTAATTAAACACCATTATCAGATTCAATCAGTACATATATTTTTTCTGTTCTGACGAAGCCGTGTATATGTCTATCATGCCTAAATTATCATCAGGTTCGTGTCCGAATAATTCTGAACCGGCAGTCGGTGTGTATAGAACGCACACATGTTGACGTGCGCGTTGATATTAATAGCACGACAAATCGTCCAGTGGGTATTTCAGTATTTGCATAGCAATGTTCCTGCCGTGCAGTATCAGCAATTATCAAGTTGGTGATGGCGTCACCCGTCTTAGGTGCTGTACATTAATAAAGCCGTATAGATTGAGACGTACAATATCAATGTAAACAGAAAATACAACTTCGAGACGTAAAGGTCAAGTTTGCGCGTCTCTAAATAAGCAATCAGGTCACATGTACAATAATCGTACCCGTACAGAAGTCTAACAGCCCGCTATCGTCTTACAGATGGATCTAAAATTTTACATGGCTTGTGCAGCATTTTGACTGTGCCAGTCAGTTTCGTAAAACTTAACAAAATGGTGAAAATCGTACGTAATTTGCAACATCATATAAGAATGTAATTGTGCGAGAAGGACAAGTAAGCACGCCGCATCAGGTATTCGGCAGTTGCTACTTTTAGTTTGTTTATCTTATTGTGCAGTGTACAGATAAGTAGTCGTCCAGATCGAAACACACGGGATACTCTGTTCACTCCATCGCACGGGAAAGAAATTCCGCAAAAAGTAGACAAATGAGCGCCGCAATACCTGCGGCTCAAATGCTACTTAAAACGGAAGCTCCTCTCAGCATGATATCAAGTAGTTACTCCTTAGTACGACACGGCATGACATATTTTTTGGTAATAATAGCAATAACCCAATAACAGCAATAGTGATAATAAACTGAATACTAATAATAACTATGTACAATATAACTCTGGCATTAGTAATGAAATTACTTTTATTTAGTTGAAGGAGACAATTTTCATGCACATGCACACTCTACAGTAACGTGACAATGTACGTATACGGCATTATGGACAACTTATCTCACAGATTAAGCTTGCCTTCCCGCCTTATGTTAAACGGCAGACATTTGACTTGAACATAGGGAGCAGTCCTGATTGGTAAAAAAACGGCACTGCATGGTGAACCAAACTCTAGAGTAAGCTTTCTTGGACGAGAATTGCACACAAACTGCAATGTCCGGCAGATTTCGGCGCTCGCATTACGAGAGCGGTGGCAGAAGTTGCGACTGCCCCATATATTCCATGACGTGGTAGAAATCAGCATACTGAGAGAGATTATCCTGGCATCGTTCGAGCAGCAGCTGCATGTCAACTATCGCACCGATTCGCAAGGTTAACGAGAAGGCACAGCCGACGTCTAGCGTTCTAATCACCGCCAATGCGGGGAATGCCGAGGAGCTGGTTCAGTCGGGAACAGACAAGTCAGAAAGCGCTAATTTCGTCACTGCAGTTTAACAATGTTATGTCCAGTGAGTGGTGACCTTTGACAGAGAACGTGTCACCAGCCGCATCGTCTTCCTGCAATTCGATGAGCCAGTGACCGACTGGGATTTCAGCGATGCGCAAGCCTTTCAACGCGGCAAGGCGTTCGCAGCCACCTACGCCGAGCTCATGGGGCTGCTGTCGCCCGATTCCTTGAGCGGTTTTCTTGCTAAAGTGCCATGCCACGCAAAGCGCCTTGGTGCCCGTAATACGCAGTCTGGGCATCGACACAGGCGCAGAACGCATTGCCCGCATGTGGTCCATTCTGTTTTCTGGGGCGACCGAAGTAAGACTGCTTATATAATATGAATGCATGTCGGCAAAGAATATATTATCTTAACCAACATGTTCGTTCGTGACATGTGGTGCAGGCGCTCGAGCATTCCGACGAGTTTGACGACGGTTTGAAGGAATGTCTGGCCTCGCAGATACCGTTCTCTGCTCGATACCAGGGACGGAACAGCCACACCGCCGAGGTTCGGCAATCGGTTCTCCTGCCAGAAGTGGACGACCCCAGACTGGACAAATGGAAAACCGACCTGGTTGAACTGGTCTCAAATCTATGACGGGAGCTCCAGAAGGGAGTAACCGACCTTCATGCTTTAAGTTGATGGTTAGCCTTCATTCTTGTGCAATAATATAGATGTCATCATGTCAACGATATTTCGCTACAACTTCAATTGCCAAAGAACAGACTGTTTGGCCTTCTCACGGTTGAATTTGCCGGTCCTGGGTGAAAAAGCCAATCGCGCCGACTTGTGTGGATTCGGCAATGCAGTTAGAATGAGTCGGTGGGATGCCCATAACCTATAGCGTCAATTTCGACTTCGCGAAGATGACTGGAAATTACCAGCAAAATCAGGCAATTCTCGTGCCGTGTTCAGTGTTAATCAGTTGCAATCGTTAGATGAAACACATCAGACAGAGATTACAGAGAACGAACTTTAAATATTTGGTGCAATAAATTTTACCAAGGCATCATAAAAGTAATATCCTTTAACTACAAGTTAAACGCTATGTAAAAATTTGGTACACGCTCAGTCTAAAGTCTCAAACTCTTTTAAAACCCGGAAAATATGTCAGCTATCGCATTTTTCAACACTGCAAAAGCAGAGCCACCGACGAGGCCGAATTTTTTGGTGAAGCACAGTCTCCCAAATAAAAACGCGGGTCGGCTGATTACGGTTCTATTCAGTGCTTCGAACTGAAAGCGATACAAAAGCCTCAAAACCAGAAGGTGCGCTGGTCGACTTTTCCATTTTAAGGATTTAAAATAGCAATATATTAGTGCCGATGGTGCCCCACTACCTAAGATACTGACCATGGAACACCACATTGAATGGTGCGAGAGCAGCTTCCGTGAAATCTTCGTGATCGCCGATGATTTCCCAACTCTCCCATCAAACGTCTCCTGGATGGCACCACTATCGCTGACGATGGGTAGATATAGATACAATATGTGGGTAGATACAAGTTGTACTTAGGCTGTTGACCTTTTAGCCATCCTTCACTGTGACATTGTGCTCATAACACCAGTGGATGGCCAGTGGTCAAGAAAGCGATAAGGCTCACTCGCAGTTCACGAATGTCTTGGAGAAACATCGCCGCCCGCCAGTAAAAGGAGACAAACTCTACCCTGGTGATGACGTCAACAACCAACTGTGACGACCATTAACTGTGAATGTCACTTTGTGTGAACCAGTTGTTAGCTACATCGTTAACGGAATTAACGCGCTGGACGTTGAGATCGATAGAGTGCGAAAGAACCAGACCGTAACATACATGACATTTCAAAACCAGAGAAATAGAAGTAATTGTGGTCCTTTTGCCTTAGCAATTGCATACGATCTGCTAAACGGAAATGATCCCGAAATTAAGGAGGTCCATTTTCCGGGAAAACGATAAGGGAATGGGTGATGGCTTCGTTTGAAGCCAAGCGAATCCAGAAGCTCAACCACCGCCCTGGTAAAGCAACAGAACGAGTTCGGCCAAAGGATATCGTCACAATTACAGAAACAGAACCCGAGAATGTCACGTAAAACGGGGAGCTAAACCTTGACAAAACGGTGCTGTGTTTTTCTACGCGGTTTTCCCCCCTGTAATAACCTTAATTAAAACATTTGCAATAGAGGTGTCCGGTTACACCAGTGGTGTGTGCGTTTCTCGTGGGGGTGTAAGGAGATTTCGGTGGTGTACGCTTTAAAATAAAAATTAAAATAATTAGATAGTAGTGTCGGGAGACTTCGGTGGTGGTGAAACATGGTGTAGGGAGACGTTGGTGGTGAAAGGCGGTGTCCGGAGCATTTTCCCTTAAAAATTTTGTAATAAGACTCTGCAATAAACATTTTTTCATATGAAGGTTCCAGAACGCGAGCGCAGCAGGTGTGGCCCAGTATGATAACCTGGCGGATGATGCTGTCACAGCAAAACTAGCTTTTGTGGAATTTGTCCGCGTAGCCGAATTTGTCAACTTTAACGAGCGGAAAAAGTGGGGAATGGAAAAGAAAGCCCCGCACGACCTTCCTAATGCTACCCCTGTCTGATGGTACGCCTGTCTGATGTTACAACTTGGAGGAGCGGAATGCAGGAATTCAGTCAACAGAGGGAATGACTTACCAGGGTAGCGTCACCGGCCCCCCTCTCAGAAAAATCTAATTTTTTGCAGGATTGCGGAGTAATACTAGGGTATGGTTAAAAAAATAGTTTCATCTGCCATGGTCAGTAGGGCGTGGCCAAACAGAATTTAGAAGTTAAAAATTTGCTATGTTATAATCTATGGCCAATGCATTGCTTCGTACTTCAAGCACATCTACGATTTAATACAAACCACTTCATGTGGTATCGTACGAGGCTCATGTACGCTGAGCGTTCTCAGCTTCCTGTTTCTGAAACGGGCTAGTAGATGACAGTGAATTATTTTTAATTTTTGAGATGATCTGTAGGTCCTCGTTTCCTCGGTTTTCGTGCTAGCAGTATTTGATAAAGACTGATAGCGCGAATCGAAATGGAAGTATTTACACCTGCTAATCTAGCTGGTACAAATATTGTTAATTACCACCTACAGGCCCGCTTCAGAAACAAAAACGGTTAACGGAGAATATTGGACACCCATAGACCTCGTACGATAGCGCAGTCAAGTGGTTCGTATTAAATCGTAAATGTGCTTAAAGTACGAAGCAATACATTGGCCATAGGCTATAACATAGCAAATATTTAACTTTTAAATTCTGTTTGGCCACGCCCTACTGGCCATGGCAGATGAAACTATTTTTTTAGGTATACCCTAACGTTACTCTGTCATCCTGCAAAAAAATTAGATTTTTCTGAGAGGGGGGCCGGTGACGCTGCCCTGGTTAGAAGAACAAGCTACGCCTGCACACCAGTACAATATACTTACCAACAGTACTCCAACCTGGTAAGTAATTACGCACGAAGCGATGCAAAAAAATATAGATCATGCTACTGCAAGTTGCAAGTGTGATGATGTCGGTTATTAATTAGCTTCTGTGACTGGTAACAACATGCATCGCTCTGAGGCACGAGTGGAGGCGCGCCGGAGCCAATCAT